CAAAATCGGTCTAGCCGTTTTGACGATTACCCGGGACAAACAGACTAGCAGTGGACTATTAAAGGCTGTTGATGTGATGTGTGTGACTAGACTTCGCCTGATGGTTGAAATTCGACCATTTTAAACGTCCTATTTTATTTCTATAACCAGTATAACTTCAACTGTCATTGTTTTGACTTTTGTAGCATGACAGGTCATATGGTACTGGACCATTAAAGTTTTTTGTAACCTTTCTCTTTTTTATGTTTATCGCTCATATTTTTCAAAAAATTCATTCACATTCAACAAGTACCTGGATGACCGAGCTTTACCGATTTTTTTTTATTGATAAATTTTCTAAAACTTTTTTTTTTTGAAAAGACAACTCCCGCATTAGGAATATATCCTGTGTCGCGGGGGACTTCACAAACACATGAAACGAACACAAAGAACACCCAGACTCAGAACAACAATTTAAAGATCACACAAAGTGTCGTCCCATGTGGGGTTTGAACCAACAACACTCGGCGTAATAGGAAGCGGCGTGGCGACCGCTTAAACCACTACGCCATCCGTGCAGTCAAACTGAAACCTATCTAAATCGATTAATCGACCCGGAAACCAACTGAATATTAAATTTCATGAAAATCGTTGGAGCCGTTTCCGAGATTCAGATTATATATATTAATTATATACATTTATATAAATGTATATAAATTATACTATAGTATTTGTTCAATGTATATTTTGTGTAATGAATATATTGTGTAGTGATGTGTTTAGTGTATATGTTTGAATTAGTTTGTATAATCTAATAGTCTTTAGTCTTAATTTACAAGATACTTAGAAAACTCCGATCTACAAACTGCAACCCCCTGTCTCACTCCTATTCTCCTTCTCCATCCAGTGGTTGCCTGGAAGAGATCGCAAAACGCGATAAGGCCGCCAATTGTAGAAATTTTAATACTTTAAGTACTAGTAGTACTACTAGTAGTAGTAGTAGTAGTACTAACTTTAGATATAAGACACACAATGTATACAAACTGATTTCTTCTTTTTTATTATGTTTTTCGTACAATAAAGAGTTATCCATCTATCTATCTATCTATATATCTATATACAAGAACTGCTCGTTTAAAGGTATTCGATATTTCGGACATCTGATACACAACGCCATCTAGTTTCTAACTAAGCAGACCTTGTACTATGAAATCTAAATTGACTGATGGAATACTTTTTACTACTTTTTTTTCGTAAATACATACATATTATACACAGAAAAAGCCCACATATATTGTTAGTATTATACAAAGAGAGGCCTATGTCTAGCAGTGGATCATTAAAGACTGTTGATGTAATGTTTGATTATACAAAATTAGAGCGCCTACCAAAAATATGCCGCAAAACTCAGTAGAAGGTTTTTATTGCAAGCTTTCATATAATTATACAATCTAATCATTAAAAACCCCTAAATGTGTAAAAGTCTAAACCGACGTTTTTTTTTTAATTTTAAATTCCCAGCGGCACTCTCATAATTAAGACGAATTTAACGACACCTCCCGAACCAAAGTACATCAAGCCTTTTAAAACTACAGACCGCGCCTAAGAAATATACATACACACAAATGCAGGCGATGGAATAAAATCACAATCACGTGGTGTAAATCATATGATTTATATATCATATAACCCTGTGATTAGGATTACAATTTTATTATTCGTAAAAAAAAGGACGTACTCTTTTACTACTACTATTTTACTATGAATTGTAATACCTCTTGCCTCCAAGGTTGTTTCGGTCTAAGTGTCGCTGGCCACTGCCAGGCGTATTTAATCTATAATAATAAAAATAACTTCACACATCTCAAACTAGGCAGAGCCTGTGATATGGTAACCAGACAACTGATAAACATACTCACACAATTGCTTGACCTGGGTGGGAATCGAACCCACGACCTCCGGCTTAGCAGTCAGGGTCACTAACCACTAGACCAACAGGTCCGTCTGAACCAACCGACTGACTAAACCTCTCCGCTCTTATCTCTATCCGTCTTATTATAAAACGTGGACTTAAAAAAGTACCGGCTTTAGTACTAGGTTTAAACCATGACCTTGAATAAACGTTATTACAAAACGAAGTTTATCGCTAGTCCTAGAACTATCTATGGTATCAAAGTTAGACCATCGTGACCCCTAGTTTAACTATGGTACTAAATTGTCAAACGTCAAATTCTTAATTTTGAGGTTCGCTTTCGGAAAGGAATTTGTGATCAGAAACCAAAAAATGGATATTGATGCAATTGATATGTTTGATTTGGAAGATTTGAATGTGTTGGATATACTAGAATATCGGATATCGTAGCTCGGTGGCGTGGCAGTGTCCATGATTCTAGAATCTTTAGGGAGTGTCGCTTGAAGCAAAGATTTGAATCTGGAGCGTTTTCTGGCATCCTCTTAGGAGACAGTGGATATCCGTGTACACCATACTTGTTTACCCCACTGCTGAACCCAAGAACAGAAGCAGAACAAAGGTATAACAGGAGCCATATCCATACACGGAACACTGTGGAAAGATGCTTTGGTCTGTGGAAGCAACGTTTCCGCTGCCTACTAAGATGCCTATTTCCTGATGATGTCAACAATGAGCAATCCTCTAGGGATTCAATACCAGTGCAGCCAGTTCAAAATTCACTACGAGGGAATATTAGAAGAAGGCAGTTTATTGAAACTCACTTGTCATAAAATAACATTTATTATATATAACTATATTTCTTTTTTGTGATATTCATGTATGTATATGTTTAATACATGTATTATATAAATGCTTAAATAAAAGCTAATGATCCTTTTTTCATAAAGTAAATCAAACATAAATAAAAGTAACTATTATCTTTAAGAAAATGCTAAAATCAGTCCTATAATACTAATGATTATTATGGGGAATATATAACCTGAAAATAATTATGTTATATTATTATGTGATTGTCAATATATTTAAAGTATTTAATCAATAGGAGATAGATTACATTAGTTATTTATTTGAAACTCTTGACTGAACAATTTATACTTATTTAACTTATTTATTTATTCATATAGGACAACTTACAAAACATACACTAATACATAATTTACAAACATGTTTTACAAATATTTTTTGAGTGTTGTCTTACTTACAAGTTGCCACGGCATGGTAAGGGACAGTTGCATCTATTCCTTAGTAATGGTGTTAGTTTTTATCTGAGTCTCCAATAGTGCTATTTGTAACTGTAGCTTTTTAATTTTTAATTTTGATATTTCAACCTGATAGAAGTGCTGGGCTTCCAACATATCAAGCTGTTTTTTTTTTAAATTCTGTATTACTATTTATAATAGCTTGGCGCCCTTCTTCATTTCTGTAAAATAAATTCTATATTATTATTATGTAATAATTTGACTTATTATTTTAGTGTGGTAAGCTTTATTTATATTTTCGTGGTTCCTTGATTGAAATAAAATATATTCAGTATTATCACATTTATTTTAACAAACCTATTTAGGGAGGCGGTTTTCCCTTTTGGTTTATTTTCTTCTATTTCTACACTACTTTTTGTTTGCACAGTTTCACTGGTGTAGATCACTGAAAATAATAAATAATATTAATGAAACTAACCTGTATTTTTCTTATTATGAAATTATTATACCTTGTTTTTCTTCAATACTGGACTCTACATTTTCATCACTTATAATCACTACAATTGGTTCTATTGAGCTATGGCCAGCATCAGGGTCTTCAACTGTTTGTTGTTGTTATATTTGTCATCTGTAACAGGTAAATGTTTAGTAAATTGTCATCATATTATACTCTCCACTATTGTTAACTTTTACTTACCACTGCATCACTGTCACAGTCACACGTCTACAACAAAGTCATGAGGAGCAATAGCCATGACTTCCAGGTCCTCTGGAGAAGGTGACGGGGGCTTGTTGCCACCTCCTGTTTTAGACTGCTCTCTCCTGTGAAGAGACAAGTTTGCCTTGGCTACCAACTTCATTCTCTTCCAAGCCAACTTTATCTCTTCTACAGAACGATTTTTTCCGGCGATTTGCTCACCACAAAGAATACTGTGCCCAAAGAATTGTGCCCTTAGGTACTTGTAGTAACTATAATCTTGAAGTGAAACCACAGTGAGGACATTTTTTTAGTTTAAGTTGTAACATAAACATTTCGATTACATTACTCGAATTACGCGCGCCGTCCAGTTCACTCCGTTATACTCATACGTGCTAGCTCGGTAGTTGTTCCAAAACATAACATTAATAATTGGATTGTGAACATGCATTCAAAAAAATACAAGTCGGAATATTTAAATACCTTTAAATAACAAAACTTTAAATTTTACCCCTACAAATAACAATTCATAAAATATTTTTCTTTATATTTCGTAACAACATTTTGTTAAAAAGGAAAGGCGCGTAGAACGCTGAACGAATGAATGAATAATTTAAATATTTTGTTGCTTATAATCTGTGGAAAATGTTTAGTCCAGAGACGATCTTTGGTACTAAGTAGTCCTTTGTTGGTCTACGATTTGTAATAAGAATGAAAGAACTAACGTTAGTACCGTAATAAGCTTAGACCTTTTAGTCCTGGTTTAAACCTGGTACTTATGAAAGTTTTTATAATAAGACGGTATGAGTTTGTATCACATCAATTCGCTCTCGACGATAATCGCGTTTGGCGTTGCGATTGGTGAAGATTTCAGTGCGGGCCAATCGCAGCGTCGAACGCTATCAGAACCAGCTAAACGGCAAAAATGATTGTTAGGAATAATGTTTTTATTTTCGTCTTTATTACAAAAGTTTTATTTTGTACACGATATCAAAAATTTTAGTAATTGAAACATTGATTAGTAGTTACTCCGTAGTTTGGTGTGTCTTCATCAGCTGGTACTGTTGTATGTTTTTTCGCTTCATGTAGAGGACGCCACAAAGAAAAGATTACAAAAATATACTATTAATTAGTATTTTTCCCGAAGTCGGTTTTATACAGTTTTTAATCTTGTTTTCTTTGCTGATAGTCGCTTGGTGTTGGTAGGTATAACTCGTCGCTCCATTCCTACAAAATATGATAAGGTTAAAGACCATGAAATACATTACACTAACAAAATTAACTAAGTGAATTCAATGGTCTAATAATCTCTTTGACCTCGCTGCATCTATAAACAGAATGGATACAAGGTACGGAACCCCAGGCCTCTTCGAACTACCCTAATTAAATGGTAAGTAACTGCCTACGCCCACGGACACCTACAACACAAGAGTCACAAGTATTTTGGTTATTTTAAGCCGTCGCCTCACACACTTATCACCCCCCCCCCCCCACTTCTCAAGGGAAGAACTCGCTGAAAAACAACGAAGGAATTGATTAAGAACGATTTTCTGTGAGGCCTTGGTGTTACTCCGGTCAAGCTGGCCTGGTTGTACACACATGGCTCTGCTACGAACGATCAGGGACATAAATTGTATGACTTTTTAAACTATATTTTTTGTATTAAACTATATTTTATTCTCATTAAATAATAGCAATATAGTCCTAAATAGGTATAGTCCTAAATACCCAAATACAATTGATTGGAGGAGGCCTATACCCAAAATGGGGTCCATACCCTAGATTAATTAGATTTAATGTAACTACTTATAATTATAACTAACACTACTCGTAGATATTAAGTACATCTATAAAAATATCAACAACGGATGAAATGTAAAATTAAGGGTTATGGAATTGGGCTTTATTATTATTCTCTTTATTAAATTATATATACATATTTATTTATTTATTTATTTAATTGGCTCACCAACAATTGTATACACTGGTTATCATTTGAAAGACATATTACAATGAGTATGAAGTGGCATAGTGTTACAATTACTTATAGGTAAGCACCTCATGTGCTGTAAAACAATAATTATTTTATGCTTAAATATACTAAATTATACAACTAGGTTTTGGCAAAAACAGATAGAATTAAGTAAAGTACATTTAAAAAGCATTTTGTATAGCACTGCGGAATTTGGTAAGTGAGTCAACATGTATATCAACCAGGGCACTGCAACTATTGAGCAGTTTGCAAAGTCGTGGGATGGTGGAGTTCGCACCGAGAATACTTCTGCGAATTGGAGGATGCAGGGGGTTGATAGGAAAACGAGGATATCTAGCTGGAGCTTGGAACTTTATTTTACCTAAGAGTTGCGGACAATCTACCCTTTGTCTCAGAAGCTTGTATAAAAATAACAAGTCAATTATATTCCTTCGTTTTTCGAGTGTGTGTAACTTAAATTTTATCAATCTCGCTTCATAAGATTTTATCTTTTTAGCTACACCAGAGGCATATGCTAGGTGCCAAAGGAACCTCTTCTGTATACGCTCCAGTCTTAATTTATGAGTCGCATAATGTGGTCTCCATACAGGGCTACAGTACTCCAGAATGCCACGTACTAGGCAGTTATATAAAAGAATTTTAGTTTTATTACATCGAAATTTAACGGCATTTCTTAAGACGAAACCTAGCATTCTTGAAGCTTTTTTCACTGTAGTTTCTACGTGTGGTACAAATGTGAGCTTACTGTCAAAAGTAACACCCAAGTCCCTGATTTCGTTGACGCTTTGTAAAGCATTGTGGCCAATACGATAAACAGATTTTAGAGAGTTAATTTTTTTAGAAAATTTTATATGAAAACATTTATTGATATTCATGCTCATTTCATTAATGTTGCACCATTCTACCAATGCGTCAATATCTTTCTGAAGTAAATCTATGTCGTCGTTTGTTTTAACAACTCTACACAATTTAAGATCATCTGCGTACATGAAAATCTCAGAGTAATTAATACTGCAAGGGATATCGTTAACAAAGTAATTGAATAAAATGGGACCAATGTGAGAACCTTGCGGGACACCAGAAATAATTTTGTGTACCCTAGATTGAAAACCGTTTACCGCCACGAAGAAAGAGCGACTGTCAAGGTAAGATTTTATCCAATTCAGGAGGGTACCGGTGATTCCATATGCTAATAACTTTTCCAATAGGAAGGAGTGTGGAACTCGATCAAAGGCTTTAGAAAAATCGGTGTATATGACGTCCACTTCCTCACCGCAGTCCACAGCTTCCACCAACGTCTCGGTAAAGCTAACCAGATTTGTGCAGGTAGACCTGGCTCCCACAAAGCCGTGTTGAGAGTTACTTAAGTATAGTGCTAAATGCGATTGTACGTATGGGCATATAAGTGATTCAAACACTTTAGCTAGGGTTGATAAAACAGAAATAGGTCTGTAGTTAGCCACATGATCGTTGTCGTTGGATTTATGAATGGGTACAACTTTAGCCTTTTTCCAAAGATCTGGAAAGGTGCCAGTAGTAAGAGACATGTTGTAAATTACAGATAAAGGAAGAGCTAGATAAGAAGCGCAATTAATTAAAAAGATTGGAGGAATCCCATCAGGGCCAGCACCTTTACGATGATCCAGAGACTTAAGGCAATTTAATACAGTCTCTTGCTCAATGATAGGAACTGTCAAAGGCAAACTATTGTTTTTAATGTTTTTCAAGTAATCTGAGTTTGGGATACCTCTTGTCATTTGTCGATCGTTAAAAGAAGAATAAAAATGAGTAGCAAACATTTCACAGATTTCATTGCCGTTAGAAGTGGTGCTAATATTGTTAGTCATTGACAGGGGAAAGGAACTAGTGCCGCCTCGTTTGCCTTTAACATAGGTCCAGAACTTCTTTGGATTCTTCGCTATTTCTATTTCTATATTTTCAATGTAATTATTATAACAGTTGGTTGACATTATTGAACTACGCTTGCTTAGCAGCTTTAGTTCCAGTGCGTCCATGGGATTTTTGTAGACTTTGTAGCGTTTTCTTACCTTTTCCTTTTCTTTAAGCGTTCTTATTAAACTTTTGTCGAACCAAGCAGGAAATTTTCTTTTTGGTTCGCCTTTGGTAGATATATGGTTATTAATAATACACTCTATGACGTCATAAAAAACACTAATCATTTCATTGACATTTGTCAATCCTTCCAATTTATGTTGCCAGTCGACAAAATCTAGTTGTTTACAAATGCTTTCGTAATTCAGTTTAAAATAATTAGGTTTGGGAGTGCTGTTGTCATAAGGAAGTCTGGCGTCGACAGTCGATTTAATGAAAATTTCAAGAGGGGGGTGTAAAGTATCGACAACGCTCAAAGGGTTTGGAGCAGCGCACACGCTGTTAGAAGGTAAGTTAGTCAAAACCAGGTCTAGTATACGCCCGGAATTATTAGTAACCTCGTTAAGTTGTTTGAGTCTGTTAATGTAAGTAAAGTCAGTCAGTAAGTGGCTGATGCCCGGTGGTGAATACACACTATCAGAGTCACTTACCAAGCTCCAGTTGATACAAGCCAGATTGAAATCTCCGACTACACATGTATACAGGTTTGATTGTTCAAATATAGTGTTGCAGCGGTCCAGAAAAGGTTCTAAAGTTGAACGGGTCACCGGCGGTGGTAGGTAAACTGTGCACAGAGCTATTTGACGTATTGACTTTGCAATAGGTACATCAACCATGACCCAGAGATCCTCACATTGACTTTCCCATTGCCACATACGTTTTGACTTTATTTTCTTTGACACAGTTATCAGTACTCCGCCTCCATCCTTTTTCCTACCATCTCTATCTCTTCTATACACAAAATATCTATCATCGAATAGCTCCGCGCTTAGGACAGAACTGTTCAGCCATGTCTCTGTTAGGATTATGATGTCGTACATTTCACAAGATAATTGCTGATAAAATTCATATGTTTTTGTACGTAAGCCTCGAGTATTTTGATAATATAATTTTAATGTGTTGAATTTAATTTACAGAATGAATAAAAACAGAAACATAAAAAAAAATAACTATACTAATAAACTAAAATAAAAATAAAAACAACTAAGTATACCTTGACAGAAAGTTCATTATTTATTCAATTTCAGTAGGGTGTCCATATCTCTAATTAGGATATGTTCCGCTTCCTGAGTCTTCCTCATGTAAATTCGACCTCCCCTAATCCAGACGTATTGGTAACCAATCTCCTTGGCCTTAATTCTTGCTGCGGTGTGTAAAGCCCTGTTGTTAGCAGATAGATGTTCTGATACAAAAATTGGCGTTTTAGGTCCTAAGTATCCCAAGTGAGTAGTATTCAATTTACTTTCCACATTTGATTTGTTGTAGGTGATAGTGGCTGCAAGGAGCTGATCCCGGATGCGCGGAGAGGCAAGTTGGACCACTATTGATCTCGGGCGGGGATTTTTGGGGTTGAGCTTAGCCACTCTAGTGCAATGCATGATGTCTCGGGGCTCAATGTTACATCCGACAACCTTTGATAGCTCAGTCACAACTTCGAGAAGATTTTCTTGTTTTTTTTCTGGCAGACATTGTATTTCGATATTGTTCGAGCGGGTTTGGTGTTCTAGTTGATTAAGTCTCGCATTTAAATCAGTTATAGTATTCTTCATACTAGAGTTTTCCACCTGTAGTACTTTTAGTTCTTCCTTGCAGGTTGAATACTCCTTAAGAAGGTCTTCATACTGATTGTTCATATAAGTCATCGAATCATTCATTTGCTCCATTTGTTCCTTGATCGGATGCAATTCTCTGCTCAAGTTACTATTAAGAAGGTCACTGAATATAGATAGCTGTGCCTTGAGTTCGTTTTTCAAGGTTTCCTGTATCATCGAGCGAACATCTTCCGAGGATATATTAAAATGTGAAGACGTTTGTGGAGGTTGTTTTTTATTCCCTCTGGTAGTCGTGATATTGCGCGACGGTGTAAGTTCAGCACTCATATCATCGTTTAAACAATCAGCGCATAGCCAGGTGGCAGGTAAGACATAACTTTGAATAAAAGATAGACAGGCGTAATGATACATCTTCATACATTTGTTGCATTTGGCGTGTTTATTCCCTTTAAGTTTCCGACTGCAACAACCCCATGAAGGAGAAGGAGACTTTCCAGCCGTTGTACTTTCAGATGTTGACATACTTATAGTTTTAACAGTTGACATAATGTATTTGTATCACAATTTGTTAAGTTTTTAGTGCACAAAAATAATGTTAGCGACTATATCAGTTGCATCTCCGTTACCTCAATACATAACACGCTCGCGAGAAAAAGGTCGTATGTTCGCGATATACAGTGTCGCTTACGCGTTCGAATATATCACTTTGCACAAAATGTCATGGTCGGTAGAATTATAATTTATTTATTGCTTATCGCCTAATTATACTAAAAATACACACTGCAAAGTCCAAATCACTTAACAATTATTGAACTAGTAAGGTTTACTTCACGTTAAAAGTTTATTTTTAACTATTAGATTAGAATTTACCACTTAGAAACAATATTAATGAGTACGACGATCGAACTGTGTTCTCCGTTTTCGCAAAAAATTAATTACATTTTTAAACATATTACAAAAGAAATAAAAATACATTTAAAAATGTAAAAAATAGTAGACCACCGACATCGGGTACAGGGACCAGGACACCGGTGATTACGACTCCAAAGATAGGAACCTCCTCACTATACGAGCCTTGTCTAGGAGGACTGCCTTCTGCATCAGACCCTTTATATTATTAGTATAGAATATAGTATAGTATTATTATTAACAGCAATATTTACCTTCAATTGTATTGCATCAATATACTCCACAGAATATTTAGTCCCATACCAAAACTCTGTCGTAGTACACTTTTCTTTAAACACCCTATAACATAATATTATAATCAGATAAATGACTACGGGATATTATTGAACATAAATTTGACTGCACGGATGGCGTAGTGGTTTAAGCGGTCGCCACGCCGCTTACTACTCCGCTAAGTGCTTTGGGTCCGATCCCCACATGGGACTTCACTTTGTGTGATCCACAAATTGTTGTTCTGTGTCTGGGTGTTCTTTGTGTCCGTTTCATGTATGTTTGTAAAGTCCCCCGCGACACAGGATATACTTATTCCTAATGCGGGAGTTGTCTTTAAAAAAAATGGGGAAAAAAAAATATCTGCGAGCTTTCTTAATCTGTAATAATAACTTGTAACATCTGACACAGGACCGTCTGATCCCTTAACCGAACAGAATCTGTACTACAGTAACCAGACTGCTGAAAAACGTACTTCTGTACTACTAAATAAATCCTTATTCATACATTCCAAATGCAGGACAAAATGATCGTGCTCTGTACAAATTATCATCAACAGCCTTTAATAGTCCACTGCTGGATATAGGCCTCTCCTTAGAAAGGAGATTTTGGCCTATTATACTTCCATTCTCTCCACTCAAGACCTCTGATTTAAAAGCCTGGGCCAGTTACCACTAGACCAACAGCCCCGTCAGTATAGACCATAAAGGAAATAACTCTATTGTGATGGTTAAAATCAAATATGATGATACTCACTTAGCAGCTATATGAACAATAATATTCTCTGGTGTAAGCAACGAGATTAGTTCTGTTACCAACTCTGGTTTCCATTCTGTCATCACATCATCGACACTGAAGATTTCTTCCATTGGATATTCCTGGACAAAAAATCAATTGTCAACCGAGGTGAATAATTTACCTTGGTAGAAAATGTATAAAATTTTATATCTGACACATAACGCCATCTAGTTTCAAACTAAGCAGAGTTTGTACTATGAAAACTAGATTGATTGATAGAGCACTTATATAGTTTTTTTCGTAAATACTCACATATTATACATAGAAAACACCCAACTTCCGAAAAAAATATTTGCAGTTTATACAAACATTTAGTCCGACCTGGGAATTGAACCCAAGACCTCAGAATAGCAGTCGCATACGCATACCACTGTAACACCGAGGCAGTCAAATGACTGACGAATAAAAATAAGGTAGGTTGCTGAAAATAACAGAACCATAATTATACTATCACTCCCATATCCTTGAAAAGGTAACGATGAAGACCAAGGTGTGGATACGACTATCCAAAAGAAAAGTGGCAGAGAAATACTTAGTAGAGATTAAGTATGGTTACTGCAGACCCAAACAGCTAACCCAAAATTCTTAGGGCAGTGTTCAAAAGAGTGCAACGCACTTGTGAGTTGCAGGTGCCCAAAGGCAGTAACAGTCACTTACTATCTAGTGACCTGTCTGTTCCTTCCTACTCTCCCTGTAACATAAAAAACAGTACTCGAAACAAGAATAATTAAGGTTGAAAAGTGACTGAATAATTACTCCAAATTGATAGATTAAAAGGAAAATAATTATTAATCAAATCATATTTGAACCTCTTCGACTCGCTGCAGTTTTAGTCCTATTTGCCATCAGAGACTCCAAGAGTTCCAGTCACCATAGTCCAGTCTCCGTGTTCTTAACCCCAATATTTTTTCTTTCTTCGTCCATCTTGGACGATTACATTCCCTATAGAGGTATTATTCCCATTCGTCAGGTAGGGAGACAGTCATGAAAAAACAGCCAAAACCCATGGCCATATTTTATATGGCGCTAACCGTATATTGCATGGAAAAAGAGTAAGAGATGATGATGATAACATAGAAATTCTTATGGCCAAAAGAAATAGACATACCCTTCCAATTTTATGTTTGCATACCTGTATGAGATCCACATGGTGTCTTACTGTAATTAACGGGTCCTGTACTTCCTTGGACCTGAATTTAATATCCATGATCTTCTCGTGCTTTTCCCATATCCAATGCTGAGGACCCTGGTTCTTTAACATGGTTAGATACTGAAAGAAATAAGTTTTAAAATACCAGCATTGTTGTAAACCCCTTCAGTTAAGCAAACTCATTTGCAGCATCTGTAAGTATCAATTACATTATTTCAAAGATCTCTGATATAGAAGGCAGTCTCTGCTATTTTGTAAGAAGAAAGAAGTAATAATCTTTTACGGAGTATATGATATGTTATGATATATCTTTAAAGCTAAAGACTACATTTTTTGGAAGAACCACCAATTGGATTAACAGGAATCTTTATTACTTGATTCCAAAGGAAGGTTATACACTATTGATTGTCATTCTATGGGCCTCTAGAGCTTGTAATTCATCGGCAGTGATCCTAAACACGGATGAAACTGCAGACTGTGGCTAATAAAATGATAAAACTGACCTGAAATATTAAACCGATGATTTCATCAATATGATTAATTCCTTTCTCGGTGAGGTTTACTTGAATGGAAAAAAAATCGAAGCTACGTGTAGACATAGTGGATCCAGAGCGTAATCTATGGAAAAACAAAATAGCTTTGACAAAACTATCACAGAATATTCGAGAACATTCCGTTAGAAATATAAATACTTTATACAAAAATGACTAAGGATGGAAGGTTCAGATTCCCTTGAAAGTAGGTTTTTTATTAGGTTGTTGGTTCAGGTAATGATTCACAAACTATGGTAAATGTTATGACCGTCTCTGTCATTATGTTTTCAATCAATCAATCAATCAATCAGAAAAGTAATGGGGTCATCGTTCTTACCTGTAACACCATTCGCGTCTCTTAAGAGCTGATAGTATACTCCCAGGTCCCTCGTAATCAATGAGGTGTGATAGATACCGTATAGGCTGCAAAATAAAAACATGTGATTTAAGAAATAAAGCAGCAACTTTCCCTCCATAAGGAGTTTGTATAAATTTTTTAAAGTTTGACTAATGATAAACGCTTGTGACTAAAAAAACAATTGAACCTACTACAAACAATACAAAGTGCAAGAAAAATATTACAAATCTAATTGAAAAAACTAAAATAAGTACGGCCCTAAATCTCAGTCAGGAGAACAAACTAAACCACGGTGTCGGACCTTAATATGAGGGTGTCCCTCAATTTCTTTAGAATCCCTTCGCTTCATCCTGATTTGGTCGTAATGGGACCACCTTGAGAGTATAATCGAGTATATTCGATTACAAAAATAATTTTAAAAAGCCGTCCACAATAGACAGAGGTGAAACATACAAAAAACTACAGTCGAATTGAGAACCTATTCTTTTGTGTTTTTGAAGTCGGTTAATAGAGTTTGCTTTGTTATACAATGTGCTGAGTAAAATGTGGAAAACAAAAGAAAAAGGTGATGATCATGGTTCTGGTAAAACTACATCAAGCTGGTATATCTTCTGACTAGTCTTGAGAAAAAGTGCCGAAAAAGCTCAACGGCTTTAGGAAGCAGACCAGCGATAAATTTACCTTAGTTTTGTAATGCTTTCTTGTACATGGTATTGGAAAGTCAATGTTTAGGTAACGAAGATTTTTGGTAGGTAGACTGTAGATTCTCCTTTGGCGAAGTTCAGGCGGGAATGGATGCAAAGGCCAAGATGGCGCTGTTGTTGATTTGTCTTCAATATTAGAGAATAGCGGTACTATCATAGCTTCGAGTTCATCCAAGGATTCTGTAACAAAATTATCCAACACCGACACTCGCAACTTTTTTTTAAATGACAACTCCTGCACTTAAAATAATAATAATAACCTTACACATCTCACACACGGCTATCTGTTTTCAAAGTGGGCAGAGCCTGTGCTATATTAACCAGACTGCTGATAAACATACTTATATATTTTTAAATACATACATATTATAGATAAATTACACCCACACACAGAACAAAGATCGTGCTCATCACACAATTAATTGGACCGAGTAGGAATCAACAGAAAAATTAAATATAAGCGAATTAGAAATACTTCTAGTATACACGCTTTCGGGTCCGTGTGGTGACGGATTAAGAATACAGAGTGTCACCACCCCTATACATCCCATGGGTGTCGTAAGAGTCGACTAAGGGAAAAAACTACGCCGAACAACAGCACTGCAGAGAGAAGGAACACTTGACACGAACTCTATACCAACCCGCCTGGCCAGCGTGGTATAGTAGGCCAAAATCTCCTTTCTAAGGAGAGGCTTATGTCCAGCAGTGGACTGTTAAAGCCTGTTGATGTAATACACGCTTACTCATTGAGTATTAAAACTGAAACAATTTTATTAGTATTACTATTACCAGCATTTTCATCATGTCTCTGTCCTAGTGGTCTTTTGCGTCACAGGATGGACGCGTGTGGACCCTGGTCCCTTTCAGCTACTGCAGTCCCAACCCCGTTACCCCCTTTTGAAATTTTCAGTATCCCTTACTCTACATAACTGGCGTATCTGTTTTCCTCTCTCTATTTAACTTTCTTCCGAATACCCCAAAACTTATTGCAGTGACAGATAAAACTTGCTTGACATACCTTTGCCCACGACGATAAGGGACATTATATTAGATGAATACCATTTTTGGTAAAACTTTAGTAATTCTTCTCTGATATTAATGCCTTTAGATTCTGGTATTGCCTTAAGTGTTTCTTTATTACCTGTTGATATACAAGCTATATTAAAACATTATTTTAACCCATTTCTTAATAAACATTGCGCACGAAAATAATGATTTCGTGCGCAATGTTTATTAAGAAATTGTTTTTTTTTTGAATTTGGAATACTTATTCTATACATATAGAAAAAGTATACAAAGCTAACATTTTGAAACAACACAAAAATAGGTATTCGGTATATACATGTGGTGACATACAGACAGCCAGTTGCTCTGCGCATTACATCGCGAAGGCGCGCGCAATCTCGGACAGTTGCTATGGGATGTTTAAAAAAAAAAGGCAATTTTACGTTTTTTTTTTGACGGGGTGGAAAATTCCTTCGGATCTCCTGCTCCTCGGGGCCGCAGGAGCTAGGAGTATGTGGTGGTTCCACTAAAGACCACCCCGACGGCCGGCCTTAGGTGCCCAACTCTGGGAGGACCCGGATCATGTTATTTCAGGTCCTCCCCAAATTGACACCCTGCCTAATCAGGCCCTATCCAAGGGGAAAAAACACTTCCCGCCATAATCGCGACGTGGCGGCCCAATGGTCGGGATCGGCCTTCTTCCGAAATTTTGACGACTACCTATTTTATAATTTATTTGAGGAAAACATTATTTTAACTGACTTAATTATTATTAATTATTACTGCTAAGTATGCGGGGGATAGTCATATACCCCCATATACATAATAATATTTTACTGTGCAAAATTACAGCTTTTTGGTCTCTAAGCTAAGCAGACGAACGTTTCAAAACTACAACGGTTATTTCTCAGAATTAAGAAATTCTAAAACCTCGGTTTGAATTTATAATCGCTGGATCACAACCTGCTAGCAGAGTATGTCGACTGCTACATGCAATAAGCAAAAATATACTTCAGTGCCGTTTATAGAAGACTCACCGAACTACAGAGTGACAGATCAGCAGTAACTGTGTCCCTGTATCGCGATCTGAAAAGTTCTCACGCAATTCAGCATATATACAACTTCCCAATATCAACCGTAGTGCCGTGGCCCGACAGGCATGATCAGGTCACCTGGTCGCATGATCCTCCCTTTGTGTTAGAGGGACTTAACGCCCGTACCTCCACAGATCGTCAGATTTACGAGAATAGTTTCACTTACCCATATTAAACTTGTAGAAGGGATGCTCTGGATCTGAAATACTTTTCTTGAGCTGGATCATTGGACAATAATCTGAGGATTTGTAAGATTCAAATTCGGAATTTATTAAGTCTATTTCTCGATCTATGGCAGATTCTGGAAAGAGTGGTGTTGTCAAAATTTCGGCAAACCTGAAAAGTTAGAGTTCCATTATAAAAATTACAGAATTAAATACGAGTACAAAGAAAAGTGCGTACATAAACCTGGAATGCCTCATTTGTTTTGCCAAAGCCGTGGTAGTAAAATATATTTTACCTTCTAATAGCGCAACTAAGACATAACAAAGTAAAGTACTGGCTTTTAGTGGCAAAAGAAAATTGAACAACGAAGTGCAGGGCTCGACACAACTGTGCCGACAAATCTCTATCCACCACAAATGCCTTGTCTAGCGCCTGATGCAGATTCAGATAGTACATCGTATAGTAGTGTCGAATATTCTGGGAGCCAAGTCTGCATGCCATCATTACATAGACTATGGGCTATTGTTAGAAAATTGCATCCCAAACTCTGGTAGAGTACATGCAATAACGATATTGCGATGGTTATTCGCTTGGGAAGCTCTTGCGACTATAGCTTTGGTCATGGTTGAGTTTCCTTATTTATGAATGGTTTAGCATTTCATTTTTGACGAAATGATAATGTGTGGACGGAGGAAAGCTTGTACACTCATGTTCTGAAGAAGAGTCGTCAGACATGGGAAAAAGCAGAATGTTTCCAACTCCTGGTTTGCAGCTAATGGGTAAAAATGACTGGAAAATCTATAACTCAATTCGATTTACCTCATAAAAATCGATCTTCGAACTAAAGAAAATTGGTACTTACATATCCAGGGCTTTCTTTAAATAAGGGTATGTAACATCAAAACAAAACTCAGTACGATCGCACCAGATACGCTCTATGGTAGAACCTCCATGCTCTGAGATAAATTTATTGAACTCATTTTCCTGAAATAAAAAATACATAATTGTTGGTCTTGACTCTAAGACATTTTAACCTTCATTGAAATTTTGCTGAGTCTAAGTCTTATAGAAAAAATAGGTCTGATCCTAACTGCTAAGTCAGAATCGACCTCCCTTAGAGTTTGATTCCCACAAAGATCAAATATTTGTGTGATGAGCACGATTATTTGGTCATTATCTTGGTGTAATTTATCTACTATGTATGTATTTACTGATATATAAGTATGTTTGTCAGCAGTTTGATTCCTATAGTACAGGCTTTGCCTAGTTTGGGATCCGATGTCTGTGTATGAGATGTGTCAAATTTTGTTTATTTTCGGGGGTCACTGGACTAAATTATTTTGACTATGAGCGTTTATGTATTAGTGTGTGTAGTATGAGTGTCTGAGTGTGAGTAGATTTAAGATATGTGTGACTTATAATACCTTAGGATATGTCTTCGTCCCGATAACGAGCATGCATTTACAAAGATGAGCCAATCCGAGGATTTCATCAGGATCACTGTAAGTTCCTGCAATAATTAATATTTCAATGTTTTTTGCTTTGTTTTGTATTTACCCTATTTTATACTCGTGGTTGATGCTCTTCACAGAAGACAAAGGAAACTTGAGTCCAGCTGAACCAAGCAGAGATTGGACAGACAAGAAGAAGAAAACTTCCAAATTAGTAAAACACTCACCAACTTGGACAGATAATCCGGCTGCAGACTTATCTGTATCTGGATCACTTACCAGAACCACTTTCAGTCTGTTTGTCAACAGCAAGCCTCTGGAATTATTATCAGAAGTTTAACTTTTAAAATGTTCGTGTGGTTACGGTTTTATATATGCCAATCGGCGTTAGAACTTTTATACTGTGATACAAGATTATCAGTTATTCCGTAGTTTGGTGTGTCTTCGTTAGATGGCGTTGAAATGAGTTTTTGTTTGTATGTGGTATTCTCCACATTATATTTTTTTTATCTTTGTACAATTACATGGTAACTAAATTATGTTTTCTTGCACCTAAATTAGTAAGCTACACATCAATACCTATAGTCTCTTTTATCTGCTGCAGGTTTCACAAAGTTGTGATATCTTTCCTTGACTCCTGGGATACTGAAGACAGAAGAGTCTGGGGAAGCCCCAGAAGAGAACAGGCCCTTCGAAGACATTTGTGGTTCCATGACAATGATGAAAGAGAAACTGTTGTGTGATGAATCTGAATATGTATATGATAACCGCTGCCAATAGACACCTGCAAATCAAGAGTCATAAGTGTGTTCCCTCTTTTTGAGTCCCCTTCTCTCAGAATCAGCGCGAAGGAGACGGCGGAGCGGGACCGGTAGAGGTTTAGAACTCTCCCGGCCCGCCAGGCCCGGGAACGGGCTAGGTACCGCAGGCGACTCAGGCGCCGGAGGTCGCAGAACGACCTCCGTCCTCCATAAGCGCAGGCCTGGGGGTGACAGGTGAGGCCATCTGTCACCCTAGCAGAAGCAGGCCAGGGTGGCGGCGAGCGCGTTGCGAAGCGCGCTCGCTTCCAGAGAGCAGAGGGAACATGGGGTTCCCACACGGGGGGGGGGGTCGTCTACTCGTCTGTAGATGGCCCGAGGTATGTCGGGGCACCAGGGACTTCCTTTCTAGGGTATACCTGGTTCCCCGGCTATTAGTACCCGAGGCGGCGTGCGGTTTTAGTCGGTTCGAGTCCGACATGCCACCGATAGGTGGCTTCCGAGGGGATTTCCGCACGGAAAAAAAAGGGAGGTAAGGTTTGGGATTCAGTAACTTCACTCAATCGTTGAAAAGCAACGATAAAATTGCTTATAACCAGTTTGCTAAACATCAAAACAATGTTGTGAAGTAATGCCATTGTTATGTGTAGATTAAAAGGAGTGGCCGTGAGTTTGTGTGCCCTTTCTTTTCATGGGACTCAACCCATTGGAAATGGGCGGTTGTAGATCAGCACAGGTATATAAGAGATTTTCGATATGAATATATTTAGTTTGCTAAATATTTGACAAAACAGAGATTTTTGCTATTGTGTGTGTTGAAATCGTCTCTTGTGTAGACTCTAAAGTCATAGAGACTTTAAAGTCTACACAAGAGACGATTTCAAAGATTTTATGAAATAAAGATATTGTGTTTAAGTTTGAGTTTGAGTTGCTACTAGAATATTAGCTGTTATAATAAAGCTGAAAAGGTATTATTTCTTTGTTTGTTTAGAGGGATTAATCTCTAAAACTATATTAGAAAATTGGTGTTATTTGTTCTGCACAAAAATGTAAATGAAATTAAGAATAAAAATTAATTAAGTTAGAATATTTACAGCGTTTACACTATTTATTGCTACTTGTAAATCATATTCATTTGATGAAATGATTGGTTTTAGTCATAGACAAATATACATGGCATTAAAATCAATCAAAATTCTTTTTATCAAAGATTAATACCTTTTTATTAGATTTAAACCTTACGCGAGACTTGCGCTAGCGTCACACATCAACAGCCTATACTAGTCCACTGCTGGACATAGGCCTCTCCTTAGAAAAGAGGTTTTGGCCACGCTGGCCAGACGGGTTGGTATAGGGTTTGTTTCAAGTTTTCCTTCTCTTTGCAGTGCTGTTGTCCTGCTTAGTTTGCTCCCTTAGTCGGCTCTTACGACACCCACGGGATGAATTGGGGTGGTGACAATTTGTATTCTTAATCCGTCACCACACGGACGCTAGCGTAATAGTAATTAAGTATTAAGTGGTTTTTTAAATCAGTCACAGCTATGATTTATAAATCATATGATTCATCACATGATATTGTGATTTTATTCAATCCCTAGTTTTCTGTGAGGCCGTGATATGGCTCCAGTCAAGCCAGCCTATTATGTGTACTTACAGTTAGTATTAAACAAAATATAAGTTTTTTTACTTATTTTATTTTTACACATAGGACGGACATAATACCACATGGCATTATCTACCAGTCAACCTTTAGATGGTTCAGTAAGGGACATGGTGTTTGCATATGTACAAAGAAAAGAAGTTATGAACTAAACTGCTGAAACTATTTAAAAGTACGTAGACGAATACGCAAATATGCGGAACAGAATAGAACATACAGAATAAAATATATATAATAATATCTATAGTATAAATATATATAAATATAGATGTAAGTGTAGTGGACAAGGAAAATAGAAAATAATAGTGCTGAGATCTCGGGTTCAATTCCCGGGTCTGACCAAATGTTTGTACTCGTATAATCATCAACAGCCTTTACTGGCCTCTGCTTAAAAAGGAGGTTTTGGCCTTCTATACCTCGCTGGCCAGACGGGTTGGTACAAGGTTTCTTTTAAGTTTTCCTTCTCTTTGCATGATGTTTCAATAATGTTTGTATGATCTTCAAACATTTGTTTTGAAGTTTGGTGTTTTCTATGTAGATTATTTATGTATTTACGAAAAAAAGTATTTATAAATATTACTAGCTGACCCGCGCAACTTCGTCTGCGTCTCTCAATAGTAATAAATTTTCTCCGTTTTTGAAACATTCTTCATTGGTGCTCCGCTCATATTTTTCTTAGCGTGATGATATATAGCCTATAGCCTTCCTCGATAAATGGGCTATCTAACACTGAAAGAACTTTTCAAATCGGACCAGTAGTTCCTGAGATTAGCGCGTTCAAACAAACAAACAAACAAACAAACTCTTCAGCTTTATAATATTAGTATAGATATCAGTCAATCTAGCTTTCATTGTACACAGTTTAACCAACATATTGAAACAAAATCATATTGGTATATAGGTATTAACAAACATAAACAAATATTACGTGGGTGGCAATACTTACACGTGCGCACATTCACAGTAAACAAGTAAAACTGAATTAACAACGGATAACACCACAAATGAGGATAATATTACATAAGAAGTGTGAGTCAAGACCTGTTTGTAAAAACCAGAATAAAGGTCGTAGCTCACTTACACACACACACACACACACACACATACCTAGATAAATTGAGTGTGAATCACTTTTTTTTTTTTTTTTTTAATTTATTTAATATTAGTTACAAAATCAGTACGCAAGCTTTATGATACCACATAAACTCATTCGAGTTTTTCTGAGCATCGTTATCATTGACATTCAGTAAATAGTAAGTACACCTAATACATATAAATAGTAGGTACATGATAAAAAAAAAAAAAAAAATTCGAAGAGGGTAGGTGGTAAGAGAACGGCACCGCCTCGCAAGGCCACCGCCCGCCAGCCGGCAAACTGTTTTTATTATTGTATGCCGAGTAGATAACAGCACGTAAACTGCATCCACAGTATGATGTTTTGTTTGAAATAACGTTTACATGATATAAATTTTCATCAGCTATAAAACAACTATTCTAATTTAATATGTACCGTGTGGAGACGGATTAAGAATACGGAGTGTCATAAGCCCTATTCATCCTATGGGTATCGTAAGAGCCGAATAAGGCAGCAAACTACACAGAAAAACTGAACAGCACTGTAGAGTGAAGGAAAACTTGAAACAAACTCGATACAAAACTGGAGAGCGTGGTATAGTGGGCCAAAACCTCCTTTCTTATGAAATACCTTTTTTAAATGTGGAAACCTAAACGGGCCATCACTCCACCGGGATTTGCGGCGGGCGATGTGTCGGAATCGAACTGACTAAAACCACACGGTATGACACTCGGTGCCTTGAATATGACGGAACCGGGAACAGCTGTTATTAAGACTTCCCAATAGCGCCTGCCTGCCTGGAGGCAACGTTTGGCACACGCGGACGCCTCCTCGCAAATTATAGTGCTAATACTCGTATCACAATACTTGTCGTGAGTGGGAATCGAATCTAGACCAACAAGTCAGTCAATATTTATTCGTATTGAACATAATATTGGAACGAAGTTCCTTATTTATATACGAGTTACATACTTACCTCACATGAACAGAATGAAAGCGGCGGTAGCCTAGTGGTTAAGGCGTTGGACTTGCGATCAAGAGGTCGTGGGTTCAAATCCTGACCAGTACACTAACGACGTGAACTCACTCCTAACACAAGCAATTTAGCTTAGCGGGAGGGGTTAACGGGAATACTAGTAATTTCGGTTGCTTGTAAACCTTTAAAAAAAAAGGAGCTCCATAATCATCATTATTTTCTTCTCGCCTTTTTGAGAATTTTATTTGAATGAAATAAATAAATAAAAGTCAGTATTTTACATTCGACTGCAGTAGTTCAAAACTATGGTGCAAACACTAACGCCCACATCTGGGAGAAATCGATATTGGTTCCTAAATGATCTAGCTGAGATTCATTCAATATGCATACAAAATATTCTGCTTCATCATATGCATGCATCATCATCATTATCAGCCTATCGCAGTCCACTGCTGGACATAGGCCTCTCCCATTGCACGCCACTTAGATCGATTTTGGGCTTCTCGCATCCAGCTCCTGCCAGGCATCTTGCGCAAATCGTCCCTCCACCTGGCCTGTGGGCGTGCATGCATGAGTTTTATTTCTTCATTCTCCTCTGACACTCATCATCAGGTGCTCCCTTTCTAGCCAACCTTTTTCTCGAAGTCCATCCACCATTTCTTTGGTCGTCCTCTACTCTTAAATCCGTCAAATTCCTTCACGATATTTTGGTCATATCTACGCATCACAGATGTCCATAAAAGGATGAACTGTTGCTTCTCAACTTATCATCCACTGGTCCTACTTTCAGCCTTCCTCTAATGTATTCATTCCTCTAGAAGTTCTATAAAGGATTAGATTATTTTTTAGAGATTTAAGGGTTTTAAAAATAAAAGTATTTAGTAGATAAAATCATTTGTTTTAAATTTATTTCCCAAATTTCACTTATTTATTAATAAACTAGCAGACATGGCAAACGTTGTTTTGCCATATATATATCATATATATTTTTTTTCTATCACTTAGGGGTATGAAAAATAGATAGGCAAATATCTATTTTTGTGTGCACACAAAATTTCATAAAAATCGGTCCAGCCGGCGGTTTGGTAACAAACACCGCGACACGTTAATTTCATATATTAGATTATTATATATAAATTACAATTTTAAATACATAAAGTAAATGATTTAAACAAAAATCATTTTTTATTTTCATAAATGGACTAGTTTAAGACAGGACTGACTATGGGTCAAGATTTGTTCTTAAATTTTCCGTCTGTGACCATAATTTGATTAAAGCAATCAGTTCAGACATAACAGTAGACTTTAAAATATTTTAAACGTATAAATTTGTAAAACTGAGCTTAATTTCTTGTATAAAAATGTTAATTAAAAGTTTTTGAGAATTAAACGAACTAGTACTAGAAGTGTTATCATTTATAGAGATTTTATTCATATTCACAATAATGTGAAGAGATAATTACTTAGATATAATATTCCAGTCTAAGTATTGTAGTCTACTCCAGAGGGTCAATTCTCGTAATAAAAATGTGTTCACGATTCAATTCCGATCTACTCCTGATGTCACAAATGTCGTAAGAGGTATGTTCGTAGTAAAGAGTAGTAGATAACCGATAAACCTTTAGGTCACAATACGATCAGGCCGGGGTGGCGGCGAGCGTGCTGCGAAGCGCGCGCGCCTCCGGGAGCACAGAGGGAACATGGGGGTTCCCACACAGGGGGGTCGCCTACCCGCCGTAGATGGCCCGAGGTACGTCGGGGCACCAGGGATTTCCTTGCTAGGGTACACCTGGTTCCCAAACTACTGGTACCTGAGACGGCGTGCGGTTATAGTCGGCTCGAGTCCGACATTGCCACCGGTAAGTGGTATCCGAGGGGATTTCCGCACAGAAAAAAAAAGGTCACAATACGATATAGGTAATCACATTACAGTCAACGTAGAACGTTTAATAATTTACCACGAAAATACCTTTTATGACATTTGTGAGATCGAAACTGAAATTTGCACGAATTTATTACAAGAATTTACCAGAAGGTTCATCTCTCCATGTGCTTATCACGGCCACACGATGCTCTCAATCCAGGGTACATAATAAGACACCTTGGTGTATATCGCCGGTTCAGCAATCACTCCACATTTTCTCCCAAACGACGTCACTCCAACCAGAATGTACATGCAATTAATCCTTTTGCTTTTGATCTGGATGGGTCCTCCACTGTCACCCTGGAAACAAATTGATTAAAGTTTTATTATTTGAAGATTGTTCCAGAATGATCAGGAACCTTCGGAGAATTATGATTCGGCATATATGGTGCGGTTTGTCTGGAGTGATATCATAAGTAGCTGAGTAAAATTGGATGCGAAAGGTGCGAAGTTTGCCCTGTTCAGCAGTGGACTGCAATAACACTGGACCTCAATTCTGCTATTTTAATATTGTATCAATAGACTGTCGATGGAATGTCGTCGGAATAGTTTTACACTTTTTCTATTCTACTAACTATGTAAGAGCAATGGCCTCCCGATGACTTGTCACTGATACAAATGTCGTCGATGTTTTTGTAATAGTTTGGTAAACGGTACATTTTAAATTTGTAAGAAAATGATATATTTAATTTTCCAGGTTTGGCAATGTTGTTGATATCACCATTGATGACCTATATTACCATACCGTCAGTCTATTGATACTGTGAATTGATGTTAGTAGAATACTGATATTTTGACCGATGTCAATGGCATCTAAATAGCGTGTCAATGAAATGACAGTGGCTTGGCGTTAACATAAAATAGCAGAATTGAGGCCCTGATCGATTGATTGATTTTAAATGGCGGAAGTAATACCAATCCGTCGGATTTAGAATACGGAGTGTCACCACCCCTATTCATCCCGTGGGTGTCGTAAGAGCAAACTACGCAGGACAACAGCACTGCAAAGAGAAGAAAAATTTGACACAAACCCCTATACGACCCCGTCTTGCCAGCGTTGTATAGTAGGCCAAAACCTCTGGACTATTAAAGGCTGTTAATGAGTAATACCAACTACATGCAATAGTACCTGACAAGTGTCCACAGCTTTTGTTTTGTCGCCATAACACGTCTGGGTTTGAGGGTCGAACCCTTTCAGCAGGAGCCTGTACTCAGGGTATTTTAACGCACATTCTTCTGTCGTGAATTTGCTTAAAATGACCTGCAAAATAAAAATCTTCACTCAAAAACAAATGAATCCACAACACTCAAGCAGTAGGAGGCAGCGAGGTAACCGTTTTAACTACTACGCTATCCGTGAAGACAGGGCTTTACTTTCTAACCATCTCCCAAAGTTCTTATAAAAATACATACTGTTACACGCTTTATATTAGCTTCACTTGTATGTTTGTTTGTATGTTTATAACCGACTCCTTTGGGCGTGATTTTGACTGACTTTAAACGGTCAGAATTCGTTCAAACTTTGTAGATATATCGAGGATCGATGACAATACACTAATTTTAAAAAAAAATTGGGGTGGGGTGCTTTTTACTATTAACAACAGGCACCCAACGCTTTTTTTTCAAATTCATTTTCTATTTTTTAGTTTGTTTTTCTATAGAAAGCGTATTTTTTAGTTTTTTAAAACTATATTTTTATTACTCCATAGTCTTCAATCACCTTATTCAGCATTTATTGAATGCATATTAAGTTAAAATTAAAAATAATTAAAAAACACACGCATAAATAGGATAATATAATAAATCTATGGTAAATATATTTATAAATATATCAATGTCACTTTTTTATTTACATCTCCTTCTACTCTTAAATCGTTGTCAGTATTCCCTCTCTCACTCCAATATAATTTTTATGTTTTCTCATGACATTCTTATAAACCAACATTATTACAACATTCTTTACGTCTTCTTTTAAACTTCCTCCATTTTTCTTCGAAAAACATTGGGGTTTTTTGAAAAATCTCTCCCCAAACTCTATTGCTTTTTAACCTATCTGTCCTATTTATGAGGAATACCAATTCTTAACGCCTTTACAAATTTTGATCATTAATTAAATAAAAAAAATAAGTCATCAGTTTATCACCTTCTGCATAACTTCTGCAATGGCCCTGTTTTCTGTGAGGCCCCAGCCAGTAGCCAGGACTTGATCGTCAGTGACAGGATCTCCGACGTGAAGACATGCGGGAACCACAAACTGACTCAAAGGAATTCTGCAACATCATCAAGAAATTAATATTTACTCTAATTTATAAAATGCGGTGTAAGCGTGTAATACTATTAGAATTCACGGTACCATGGGAAATCAGCTGCTAAAAGACCTTGGATTTCCAAGAGCTTTAGTAAGTTATTTTCTTGAAAGAATATAGAAAGAAAGAAAGAAAGAAAATTTATTGGCACATGCAAAATTCCTTACAAAAAGTGCCAATAGGTCTGCAGCTCAGCATACTGTTGGATGGCCACAGGTGCCTTCCAACGCTGGTTTTCAGCTGCAGCCCATAAGACTGGGTGTTGTCTGCAGGAAGCCATTCAAGTGTGTGATTGTGTGCGTGTATATATATATATATATATGTTGGTGCGACGCATTGATATCATAAAGTAAGGGAGGGAGAAAAAACTACACTAAAAAGTAGGTAAAATTGAAAAAATGCCATCAAAACAAAACAATGCGACTGTCGGCGCTCAACAAGGAAATTTAATAGTAATATTATTAAATGGCAGATGTTGGAATTTGGATACTCTCAAATTCTTCTTGATGCGAAAGCAAATAACTTTTTAATTTTAACCTGAATGTCGTACCGCTTTTACAATTTCTTATTGGCGGAGGAATATTGTTCCAACATTTAGTCGCTGCATACCGGAAACTACCTCTGAACGCTGCTGTTCTGTGTCGTGGGATAGACAGATGCTGAGAACACAGTCGTCCTGTCCCATTCGAATGCCGGTTTGGCCAGGCCAGTCTGTTGTAAAGGTAAGATGGAGTTTCTGTTTTTATAATTCCGAACAACAGACTTGCTAAATGAAGCTTGCGTCTTGCCTTCATTTTTAAAATGTTGCGATAATTCAAAAATGGTGTTATGTGGCTCCGCGAAGGCACGTCGAAACAGAATCGAGCACACGCGTTTTGGAGTCTCTGTATCATTCGCTCTGTTTTCGATAGTAGTCTCTCGCCGTATACTGCATCAGCGTAATTCAGTTTCGATAAAACCAAAGACTCGACAAGTAATATGCGCAGCTCTTCCGTTAAGTATGGACGTGCCTTGTACAACACCTTAAGCCGGTAAAAACAATTTCGAATCGCCTCTGCCACATGCTTCTCGTAACGTAGCTCTGAATCCACCACAAGTCCTAAGTTGCGTGCTTCATAAACACGCTCGATAGGTTCCCCCATGATTGTAATGGGGACTATGTTGTTCTGTAGAGATGTGATCATGGATTTTGTACCAAAGAGCATGTACTTGGTTTTAAATGGATTCAGGAGAAGTGAATTGCGTCCGGACCACTGTACTATGCTTTCGAGATCGTCGTTAAGACATTTTGCAGCTGATTCATAATCCCGAAGCCTAAAAGACATGTAGACCTGTATATCATCGGCATAGACGTGATACTTACAGTGTTTAATGATGCCAGGTAAGTCAGCGCAGTATAGGATAAATAGTAAAGGCCCCAAAATAGAGCCCTGTGGCACTCCTCTACTAGTAGAATAATGGCTGGATGTGATAATAGATCCATCCTCCCTTCCTATATGAACATACTGAGTGCGCCCGCTCAGATAACTGTCAAACCATTTTATCGTGTGGACATCGAACCCATAGTAAGCCATCTTTGAAAGTAGAAGCGGAATGTTTATACAATCGAAGGCGCGAGAAAAATCGAGCAACACCAAAATAGTACACATTCCGGTATCTTGAGCTGATAGTATGTTGTCGGTCACGTCCAACAGCGCCGTGGTAGTACTACGAGCCTTTCTAAATCCTGACTGCACATCTGGCAAGATATTGTTACGCTCCAAAAAGGTTGAAAGTTGCGTGCATACCACTCTTTCCAGAACCTTTGACAATACAGGCAAGACGCTTATAGGTCTCAGATCTTTAAGCTCATTAACATTTGGTTTCTTCGGCAATGGACATATTTTCGAAATCTTCCATAAGTCAGGGTAGGTGGCAGTCTCAATGGATAAGTTCACAATAGCGGTAACTACATCTAGAGTTTCAGGTAGCGTCAATAGGACCATATCGATACTAACACCGTCATATCCCTCAGCTTTAGTTTTTATAGAACTTAAAATTTTCATTACTTGATTGCAAGTTGCAGGGCTCAGGCAAAACTTTGAACTACTAAATTGTCCAAATTCATAATAAGTGAGTTCACTAATAGTAACTACTCCCTCACCCGGTACATTTAAAAAGTGTTGCGCCAATATGTCTGGGTTGTTAAAATGTGCAGGTAGTCCATATTCATTTTTAGGAGGATTTAATGTGGATTTCAAGTTTTTCCACAGCGCTCTGCTATCGTTTATTCTATTATTAATGTTATATTTAAAAAACGCTGCTTTTTCGTAAAATAATGATCTGTTGACCAGACCTTTCAGCTCTTTGTAATATGTTAGTTTACTTTCAAGTTTAGTTTGTCGGTACTCCGCATAAGCTTTATTCCTCAGTCGCATCATCAGCTTTATATTATCAGTTATCCATGGATATGAACGCTCTCGAATTATACAAGTTTTTCTAGGGGCCAGGTTATCCATAGTCATGGTTAAGCGCATACTAAAATGGTTAACCATGTCATTTACATCTTGCATTGCCATGATTTTACGCCAGTCAACCATCTCCAATTCTTGTTTCAACAACTCTTTTGATATGTTTTTTAAAGGGCGGAAAGTTATTGTCTGGGGTAAAGTTTTATTTCTTTTAATATTAATTTCACAGGAAATAAATGCGTGCGCACCCAGCTCAGGTATAGACTCCACCCGCACTGTGTGGACGTTGATATCTTTTACGCATACAACATCAATAAGCTTATCACCGTGCGGTGTGGAGTGTGTGGGAGAACATACCACCTGTCTAAAGTTGAAACAGTTTAAAAATGTTTTAAGCTTTTTGGTATTTGAGTCAGTATCGTTCATCATATCCACATTCAAGTCGCCCAATAGAATTATACCGTCGTACTTTATCAAGGAGCTCAGTGTGCAGGATACAGCATCCAAAACCAAATCGAGGTTCAGCCACGGCGGGCGGTAAACGGTTCCCACCACCAGTTTTGTTCCTCTCGCGTTGAAGGTGATCCAAATTTGTTCGATTGAGCTATAAGCCATGTCGACGGGGTGCTTGTGGTTTCGGGGATTTATTTCACGTTTAACATAAAACCCCACACCACCCCCTCTGCCATTTTTAACTAACTGCGGGCGAGGGATATGTCGCAGTAAGTACCCCGGCACCGAGGGCGCACGCTCTTCTTGGCCCGAATGTAACCAAGTTTCGTTTATGGCCATGACATCGATATCTCGATCCAACATCGCTGCCACGAACTCATCATGCTTAGTTCCCAAAGAACCCTTATTCAATAAGCCAACTCTTAGATAATTCCTTGTCATTACTTAATCATTGCTACATCCCTTTACAACTATATAATACTTATGGAGTACATATATTAACAAATATAACATGTAAAAACAAGCGATAACATTATGCGATAAATAAAATAGATATACGTGTCGATTGTGTTTGAGTATGGAAGTCAAATACTTGTACGCTGGTATCGATGCAATAAACATTTCCGAGTCACATTGGGCTGCATAATTATACAGGTTAAAAGTAAATCTATTTTCGTGAGCTGCAGAACCATTGGAAGCTAATACTAAGTTACATTGAAACTTGCCTAGCAAAGGGTATAGATATAAAAAGGCACACGAGAAATTATTTGAATTGGCTATAAACCATAACAAAATCTTAAAGCAAAATAAGAATAAAAATAAAAAAGTAGAACAAATGAAGCATGGCTTAATAATAACAATATTTAAGACTAACTTAGTCACTACCAAAAACACGATTAAAATCAGCATCGTTTCGAAAATGCTGGGTCGGCTGGCCGTCCCCTTTACGGGTAAGTATACGTGGGTGATTCTTTGAAACCGAGGGTAAATGACTAATTCGTCTGGCTTAAATTTATTTTTAGTATTAGATACAAGTTTAAATATTAGTTTTAGACAAACTCATTAAATATATTTAATTTATTTAAAAGGCACTGCTTTGCTCCCAGTAATTTATGATTTAGAGTGTGCAGATGAATTAATCAGCCAGATGAATGATGACTATGGCAGAAGAATGAGATTTTGCACACTAATTAACTAAGATAAGGAATAAATGAGTTTTTTTATATTATTTGAATCAATTTTATTGTAAAAAATTAAAATATAATTACTATATTGTGTTGATCAGTCAAGTGAATCTTAATTATTCTGATATCCACTACGCATACATTATACTACTTCTAATTTGTAACTGTTTCTTTGGGTTGAATTATAATGATTAAACTTAATAAATCACACTTTATAACAAAACTTATTATCTTTTAATCTCTTATATCTTAATTGCAATGACATGCAATGGCAAAAATAACAATAATTCTTCACTTATTCCGATTTCACCAACGTCGAATAAATTTATCCGAAGAATAAATTCGGCGTTCTGAAAGTTTTAGTTGCAAAGAAATATCAAATATGCACTCGGATAAGACTTATTTTACATTGGTGAAATCAGCCATCATCATCATCATCATCATCAACAGCCTTTAATAGTCCACTGCTGGACATAGGCCTCCCCGTAGAAAGGAGGTTTTGGCCTACTACTACTACTTCTCTCTGCAGTGTTGTTGTCCTGCGTAGTTTTCTCCCTTAGTCGCCTCTTACGACACCCACGGAATGAATAGGGGTGGAAATCAGCCATTAGAAATAAATCATAAGAACAAAAACATAATGTATCAACGAAAAAGAAGCAATTTGATAACACAAACAAACAACTAAAACAGTCAAATCAGTGTGGTACAACGTGCAGTACATGCGATATGCATCACCCACCCTCCTGCTTCTAAACATGCAGAAAAAGCAAACAAGCAATACACACCACCACGACACGACACCACAAAAATCTTCTGTCAGCACTGTCAATGTACGTATCATTCGTATTGCTTGCTTGCTTATCCTGCATGTTTAGAATCGGGAGAGTGGGCGGTGTATAACGCATGCTGCACGTTGTACCACACTGATTTGACTGTTTTAGCGGATGATAGCGAATCATCCGCTAAAACAGTCAAATATCTCAAGTTCCTTGATCACAGACTTCAGCAAAGTAACGCCTGCTTCTAGCCAAATCAAGATTTAATAAAATGAGAATCTATCCATACTATCTCTAGCCTTAGCTATAATCTAGCCTTAATTTAATAATAGGAACTTCAGTCAAGAGATCGCTGAGCGGTAAGTACTTAAAGTCAAGTCTCAAAGTCAAGACATTCTGCCGATTCCAAATTTTGTTCTGCTTTATTCTTCCTGAGTCTTTTTTCTTCATTTGCTTCTGATATGGTAAATTGTTTTGCATCACTATTATTTAGTCCTAAAGATTTAAGAAAGTTTGGTTAATTGGGTATATTGAAAATTTAAAATTCTTCATCTTCATTCTCTTGATTTGTGTTACTGCTTTGCTCTGTTATTGTCTTTTTTTGTTCGATTGGTTTGTTATTCTCTCGTAATAAGTTTTTCTTTGGTGTTTTTCGCACTTCATTTTCATTTTCTTGAACTATCTTGCCCATTAGCTTTTGTTTTTGTCTTGGCAAAATTCGGTTAATCTTTCGTTTTGATTCTTTTTCAATTCTGGTCCTCTCTTTCTCTGACGATCTTATCCCTTTTCTTTTATATATTGGCGTGTTACTTGTTTGGTTATTCTTTTGATTTCCATCTTCAATCACATTACGTCTTGCTGTTCAAAAGGATTCACCAATCTCTCTCAGTTCCCTTGTTGAGTCAGCTAGAGGTGTGACTAAAAAGTCTTTCTGACATCCGTCTACAAAATTATAAAAGCCAAGATGTTTCTTTTAACGCAGACGTCTTACTAAGCTTGTTGAGTTGCTCTGTTGAGACAAACTGCGTGAAATCCTATATGGTCCTGGTACAGGTGAATCCGGTTCTTTGTTTGAAATTGAGTTTTCTAAAGGTGACGCATCTCGAATGTTGTCTCGTGAAGCTACCACCATTTCAGTGTCTGACAAGATGCTGTGACTTTGAGGTGGTGTATATTGTGTAAACAGCTGCTCCGTTCTTTTTTCTTGCTTTTTTCTTAGGTAATATGACTTGTAATTTTTTCTCCATCTTTTTCTCTGTAACTTTTGATGTCTTGGAGTCATTTCCTTAATCGATAATTGTTTCTTTTCTTCTTTTCTTCGTATATAGTTTTGTTTATTCTTTTCTTGGTTTTCTTTCCATAAATCATCATTATTTTTTATTCTTTCGTATCTTTTTCTCTCTGCAAGCCTCTTTTTTCTAAGTCTTTCTTCTCTTGTCTGCGTCTTTGGTTTTGCCATTTCAAAATAGTGTTCTGAAAAGAAAAACTAGTATACAGGAACTATAGTCTGTTTATGTTAAGAAAATTGAGACTAAACTGATCATTGTCAGTAGAGTAAGCGATGCCCTCAACAAGCCTTCAACTAATTATGTTGCGAGAAATCAAAAAACATTTTGATTTCACGCAACTTAGTTGGTCAGTGATAGAAATCTAATTCATCTGCCTCTTCCAAATTCATCTGGTCTTATGAGCCAGATAAATCCAGACCAATGAGGGCCAGATTAATGAAGAATTTGAAGATAATCGAATCCTGTCCAGTTATTTATCAACCTTTAAAATTATAGGAGTAATTAACAGTAATAGACAACCTAATAAGGGTTTATGATTCTTACAAAACATTAAAAGACACTTCAATATTATTCATAAAAAATGCCAGATTAATTATGCTACTTACCTTACAAACGCCAGATTACAGGTTGATATCGTATTTTTTCGTCAAAATACGCGCCGTGAACGAGCGCTCCGTATGATAGACTGGCATTCACTGGCGCGAAAGATCGCTAGTCGGTTTATTCAATGGAAAAATTTAGAGTTACGTTGAATTCCCTTGTAGACGTATTGGGCCAGATGAATGATTACTTTAGTCGCGGATAATTTTTAAAGTACTATCACTTCAAGATTATTTAGTTATTATGTTTTTTAATTTGGAAATATTAATAAATATATAATGGGATATCGTTACAACTTACTTATTTTATTATATTGCGACAATTTATTCCAAAAAATAGTATAAATCAACACCAAAGCGTCATTTGGACGCGCCAGATTAATTAGTTTTAACAGTTTTCTGAAGGCTTAAGTTTTTTATTTATTTCGAACTGCGATTAGCTATATCATGCCTCGATAGATATTTACTTTTAACATAAAACCTAAAATGTATGTCGAAAACGAAGATTATTTTAATGAGTTCTTCAGCGAAAATCATGTCAAAACTGTGTTTCGAAGAATCACCCACGTCCATCTCTCGTCCATACATATTTCCATTCCAAGCGCCGGGCAGCCTCTCGCACTTTGTAAAATAATTGCCTATTTCTCTTTGTCAGGCGCTCGTTTACATAAATGCGACAGGGCGCACCTTGTAATTCTATGTCTTTCGTTGTAAGATTACGGCGGACTCGTGCAGCACTAAGGAAATGGTCACGTGTAACACGTCTTGCCAGCCGGATAGCTATAATACGAGGGCGAGACGCGCCCTCTCCCTGAGGTCGGTTCCGCAATACGTGGCCCACCCGTTTTACATAGACCAAATCACGGTCGTCAATTTTCACTCCTAGTTTCGCTGCAATCAAATTAAACAGTTGGACTGTGTTTTCACCACTTGTCTCCGTGACCCCGGAAATCTGTACGTCATTCAACAGTGGTTCTTGCTCACATTCGTTAAGTTGTTGTTTTAATACATCGATTGTCGACTCCAATTCAGTCACGCGAGAAGACTCCACTAGTTCCAACTTTTCCTCAGCCAGGTTAATACGTTCCTCTAGTGTATCGACCCTATCCCCGCAGGCTTTAAGAGACTCCTTTAACGATAACATCTCTTCCCGAAATTCCCGAAGTTCCGTTCTAAGAGCGTAGAAGTCGCCACGAAGGCCCCTTATTTCATTTATCACGGCTTCCTGTGTATTCTTTGCACTTAAATCTGTATCTGTCCTATCTGGTGGATGAATGACTTCCAATCGGGATTGTTTTCCTTTACACACTGTGCATTGCCAAGAAGTAGGGGATGCGGCTGATGACAGGTTAGCGCAAGCTCGATGAAATACACCTGGGCATTTTATACATTTCACGGAATCCACTGCTACCAAAAATTTACCGCAATTGGTACATTTTGGCATTTTTAAAGGTGAATTATAATGGAAAAAGATAAAAACAAAAAAGTGTTAATAGATATTATGTTGTACTAAGCAGCCCTCAAGCTGACTCATTACAAACTGTGAAGAAACGAAAACAAAAACTTTGTGAGTAATCACGGGGTTCGATCTCGAGTACTAGGCTCTGTGGGTCGAGCTCACTACCGCTCATTCACCAGTGCCCTGTAGAAACAGGTTCAATTACTTGTACTGAAGACAACTCAACACAGTTTATGTGGATTATTGTGTATATTTAATTTAAATAATATGCGGGTAAAATGAGATAAAGTTCCAAAGTTCAAACACATTCGCTACCACTAAAAACCAGTTTCTGTAAAATTGTTTTAATGTTAATCACTGTTTTCAAAAGCTTTGTCCATATGTATTTATCAATAAGGAGGTACAGTTGCTTAAGTTAAACACTGCGTAGTTGTTTTAACATTTCGTCGAAAAATAAGCACTTTTATAATTAATTTTAACGGAGCAAAAACAAACACGTCCACACACCACACACACGATCCTCCTAATTACTATATCTCTACTATTACCTATATACTCCTATATACTCTATCCTATATACTCCTAATACTAATATCCAAAGCAGAATAATTAGTTTTATATCAAATATGGTTATGTAGAAGAGGTAACACAGAAGACAGTGGAGGTGAGCGCTGACGCGTAGCAAAGAGTACTCCCTAAACCTACTCCTGGATTACTCCTAATATCACGCGATGGACTCAGCACCCGCATGGTGAATCCATGAAAGGCGAGAGATAGGTCTCTAGATTATTTATCAACATATTCACTTACCAGCAGATGACCCGTCTGCCCGTTTGCCTCTATACCTTAAAATAACCACTGGTCTCAAGTTAGACAGAACCAGTACAATAGTGTTTTGATTTAAACTGCCATGGTCATTTTCACTTCATCATCATCATCAGCCTATAGCAGTCCACTGCTGGACATAGGCCACCACTTAGATCGATTTTGGGCTTCTCTCATCCAGCTCCTGCCAGCCATCTTGCGCAAATCGTCAATCCACCAGGAGTGACCTGTGGGCGTCCTACACTACACTACATATTCACTTGATATATCTCCTAATTAAGGAGATATTCATTATCATGAAGGTTTTGGCCACGCTGGCCAGACGCTTTGGTATAGGGTTTGCTTCAAGTTTTCCGTCTCTTTTCAGTGCTATTGTCCTGCGTAGCTAATTCCCTTAGTCGGCTCTTACGGCACCCACGAGATGAATGCTGGTGGTGACACTTTACATTCTCAATCCGTCATCACACTGATTACTGATATATAATAATAAAACAAAAAAAAAAGAAATATTTTACTACATTCGCACAAAGCAGAGCTTGTACTATGGCTACTAGACAACTGTTATAACTCTGACACACTTATTTTAAACGGTCAGAATGGAAAATGTCTATTATTATGACCTTTTCTCCGTCTCCAGTAAAGCGATATCGTGGTACTGTGATGGTGACGCATATTCGGGATGTTTGATTATTCTTCTCACTTTTAAAACGTTTGAAGGGTTGTTCGCATCAGTCCTGGTTAGAGCTCCAACTACTACATACTTCACTTCACCCCTGAAAACAGTATTTCATTGTTTATTATAGTCTTAAAAATCATTTTTTTATGTTTTTGCTATCAATGTTTATTTGAAAATATGGCAAACAGAGGCCCGTGGTCCCGTTCAGTGCAAATAATTTAATTGTCACAACTGGTAGGTTATACCGATATCGGTTTTTGTGCTGGTACTCATTATCTTCAAGTCATAATGTGGATGTCATTTATTAAAATACCAAGAAACGAGATAAATGTATTTCAGCGCCATCTAGCGAATACCATATGACCTACTTAGTACTAACTGATCCTATATCGCGCAATGAAAGTTTTCACTCTGATTAGCACAAATGTTTACTACGACAGCATTGAACGTAGAAACCTGAGAATAGGCTTGTGGCCACTAATAACAAATTGCTTGGTTTATAGTTTCAAATTATAAATTAAGAGACATAGATAAGAAAAAACCAGTCTATTTCTCATAAAAGTTAAAGATTATTAATATTTTTAACAAATAAATTCGAACAAAATAGGCATTAAGTCACGTGACAGCAAACACCAATCAGAAAGTGTTACGTCACGCCACGAAAAACATCATTGTTGTTGTTGTTGACGTTTTCACACAACAGAGCAGGTTACTCCTTATTGTTTTTCGTTTTTAGAATATTTTTTCACCTTAATACAGTTTCAGTTGACACTGGACACAAATGTAACCAGTTTTGTTTCGCAGACTGTGACGTCATTCAAGACGCCATGATTCAGCGTTTTCAAGGGAAATTTAAATTGTTGTTTTTAAATACAAAATACGTATAAAATAATATTGATTTTTCTTTAAAATATATGTTTTTTGGGATAAAATAGATATTAAAGTATATAATTAACCAAGTTTTCAAATTGAGTCAACTAGCCTACTCTGACTTTCATTGGGTAAGATATTTAGTAGATTGATGGTGCTTAAAAAAAAGAATCATCAAAATCGGTTCACCTAGTCAAAAGTTCTGAGGTCATCAATCATCAACAGCCTTTAATAGTCCACTGCTGGACATAGGCCTCCCCTTAGAAAGGAGGTTTTGGCCTACTATACCACGCTGGCCAGACGGGTTGGTATAGGGTTTGTTTCAAGTTTTCCTTCTCTCTGCAGTGTTGTTGTCCTGCGTAGTTTTCTCCCTTAGTCGCCTCTTACGACACCCACGGGATGAATAGGGGTGGTGACACTCTGTATCCTTAATCCGTCACCACACGGACAACAAAAAAAAATACAGTCGAATCGAGAATCTCCTCCTTTTTTTAAGTCGGTTAAAAACTAATTACTTACAGTTTAGTGTTAAAAGTGCAATGTGCAGCCGTTAAGATGAATTTGTCGCTAATGATGGAACCGCCACAGTTGTAAGTAAGTGGTTGTCCATAGTCTTCATATCCCAGCATCGCCTGTAAAATTTAATTGTTTAAAGTTTAATTTTTGTAATAAGGACTTACATGCTACTTAGACATGTTATACCCTATGTTTAGTTTAATAAAAAAAGCCGTGTGGTGTCGTGTGACACCTGATAGGAACGAAGTTGTGACGATCGAGTAAAACTGATTCGACACGATTTTAATTACAACGCCATCTATGAAAGCGGCTATTACCTACATATTTTTCAGTTGGTTTCTAATTAAAACAATTTATACATTGGTAAAATGTCCTTGAGAAATGATGTCGAATACAATATTTTTTGCTCAACCTAAGAACATAAATTTTAATTTTACTGAGATGAAAAGTAATGATTTCCTATCTATTCTATAGATGGCGCTGAATGACTTACAAGTGACAATTCAAAATAAAAATTGTCGTTACAATTTTTCGTGAGATTTTTTTCCGTCTAGCCCCTTTCACAACGCGCGATAAGGAACTTCCAACAACTTTATTAACTTGAACTGGGGGTTGAAATTTATTTAAACGTTTTATAAAACCGCTCCAGCTGTTGTGGTATTATGTAATATGTGTCTATTTTATAATAACTAATTAAAATTTGGTGTAAGAGGTTGAAGACTCTTCTTCCTCTCCCTCTTCCTCCGAACCGTTTTCCCAATGCGGACGCGTTCGGTAATTCAGCCGTATCGTATCAAACTTCTACAACCCAAGTACCGAACGTGTATTGCCTACGCGGGTCACTTATGGGCGAAATCGGTGACTTACTGTCACCGATTTCGCCCATAAGCGTCTGGAACTCAAAAGATATTATCGTTATGTGCGCCTGGTACTTATTGAATTTTATTTACTTTAATATTTTAATTTTACTATGATTTTTGAATAATTAAATTATGTGGAGTAGACGTCTGCTGTGCAAATCCAAAAGACTGTAACTCGACTTACAGTGTTTTGCCTTAACAACGCTCAATCAGTTTCTTTACGTTTGTTTAGTTCCCCTTTTTTTTCCGTGCGGAAATCCCCTCGGATACCACCTGTCGGTGGCATGTCGGACTCGAACCGACTAAAACCGCACGCCGTCTCGGGTACTAATAGCCGGGGAACCAGGTATACCCTAGAAAGGAAGTCCCTGGTAACCCGACATACCTCGGGCCATTTACAACAACAGGTAGACGACCCCCCCCCCCCCCCGTGTGGGAACCCCATATTCCCTCTGCTCCCTGGAAGCGAGCGCGCTTCGCAACGCGCTCGTCGCAACCCCGGCCTGCTTCTGCTAGGGTGACAGATGGCCTCACCTGTCACCCCCAGGTCTGCGCTTATGGATGGTTTAGTTCCCCTGATCAACATTTTTGTTATTCTAAAATGTATTTTAGAAGAGACAATAATCTAAAAAATACTGTATTGTATTGAAATTAGGGTTTTAACATGGTAGAAACTGTAACAAAGCTTTCAAAGTCAACAGTCGTTTTAAAAGTTACAGTGTATTGGATTGGCACGGCAGACGTTTAGTCGCTTTCGTGGTCCGAGGTCAAGGGGGCATGATGAGGGGATGATGTATGTATGATGTATAAAAAAGTTGAATCCGTTCCACTTACCATGTGAGGAAATTCGTGGATGTGAGTGTCATTTCCTCCATAAACCAACTTATCAACGTTGTGATGACAATGTCTGGTTCTGCTAAACCCTCCTAAGAGAGACACCACATTCTCACAGGGGTAGACGTAAGCTGCCTGATACTCGATACATTCTGGAAGAAACTATATATTATCATGTTGATTATGATTACTATGTGACGACTAATTAGCGTTGAAAATTACGAACTGCTATACAACCGTTTACCCCTTATTTTACCCTCTTCGGGGTGGAATTTCCTTCAATTAAAAAGCATTAGCTGCCAAAAATTCAGGTTTGTTGCCCCAGCGGTTCAGGCTCATCACAGATCACATCAACAGCCTTTAATAGTCCACTGCTGGACATAGGCCTCTCCTTAGAGAGGAGGTTTTGGCCTACTATACCACGCTGGCCGGACGGGTTGGTATAGGGTTTGTGTCAAGTTTTCCTTCTCTTTGCCGTGCTGGTTGTCCTACGTTAGCTCCCTTAGTCGCCTCTTACGACACCCACGGGATAAATAGGGGTGGTAAGCCTCCGTATTCTTAATCCGTCACCACACGGACGATCTATAATATGTATGTAGTTAAAAATATATAAGTATGTTTATCAACAGTCTGGTTGCCATGCGGGCTCTGGCCTAATTTGGGATCAGACAGCCGGGTGTGAGATGTGTGAGGTTATTATTATAAATTGTTATGTAATTAAAAATACTTCACGAGCATTTCGAGGTCATCGGTGACGCAAACCCATTAGTTTCCCCTCCAAAAAATCGCTCAACGCGGCTTAAGACCAATTCAACAACCAATTGAGAATTGCCTCCTTTTTCATTTAATAGTATAAAACCGTAATCAAATATGTTCCGATACGATACAATCAATTATAAGCAATCACGTGTATTAAAATAATTCCGAGAATCGAAACTACAATCCTTGACCCGACAGTCTAATACTTTAGCTTCGTGCCACATATCATGTACGTATATCTGTGAACTGGAAACTGAACTCACTATCAAACGCCTTCTGCCCAGTTTCCTTGGATGTCAGTTCTTCGGGTACAGCTTCACACCCTCCAGTGCGGTTATCATCTTCTGGTCGTCTAGTAACTGTCGATCTGGAAAAAGGAGTACCTTCTGTAATATTGACCAGTAGTGTCATGGGAAATTTGACTGCACGGATGTCGTAGTGGCTTAAACGGTCGCCACGCCACTCACTACTACGCTGAGTGTTGTGGGTCCGATCCCCACTTAGGACGACACTTTGTGTGATCCACAAATTGTTGTTCTGAGTCTGGGTGTAATTTGTGTCCGTTTCATGTATGTTTGTAAAGTCCCCCGACACAGGATATTCAGGATATAAAAAAATAAAAGAAGAACGGTACCTTCGACACGGGTTTAGTGTACCTAGCTTATAGTCATACTTCAGCATACATGGGCCGTCGAGCCGGCTGAGTGATCCGTGGTATCACTTAGCCGTCTCGACGGCCCTTAAATAAGTTATAACCAATTCTTACTTTTAACCAAATGCGTGAAATGCCAAAACCTCAAGTCTCCTCCTCTCTAAGTCCAGAGAGGCGTTCGAGTGGAAATGCACTCATCTTTTGAGTTGCAGGCGTTAATGGGCGAAAGTGGTGACTTACCGTCAAGTTACCAGTGTGGTTGTTTGCCCCTACACCATAAAAAACGCTGCCGGTAGTTTGCTAGTTTTATTTGGTAATACGTCATAAGTTACAGAATGAATAATATTATTTACTTGCTTCCGCCCGCGTGGATTTCGGTAACCTTTTTTCGGTGATCTTTTTTTCGCCAGGTTTATTTAGCATAAAATTTTTAGGGGCCTCTTCAACAATAATCGTTCTCTTCAAAAATAATTAGTCAATTTACATAAACCATCATGAATTATACAATTAAAACTTCCTCAGGAATCACACTATCTATTGGTGAAAACCGTACAAAAAACCGTTTTGTAGTTTTTGAGTTTATCGCGTTCATACAGACAGACAGTCGCGGCCGGAGAACTTTATTTTATAATATGTAAGGATAAATGCAGGACTCCCTGACAACAGCTAGTTGGAATTAAAGGCATGCGACTATGAACTACTTCGCCTTCTCTTCTAATCTACCTTTCCACATCATCAACAGCCTTTAATAGTCCACTGCTGGACATAGGCCTCTCCTTAGAAAGAACATAGAACACCAAAACTCCGAAACAATTATTTGCAGATCTTAGAAACATTTGGTCTGACCCAGGAATCGAACCCGAGATCATAGCACAGCAGTCGCATAAACTACCACTGCGCTACCGAGGCAGGCAGAATTTTAAAACAGCTTTATTATTTACTAGCTGACTCACGCAACTTCGTCTGCGTCTTTTAAAAGGATTTAATTTTCCCCGTTTTTGCAACATTCTTCATTGGTGCTCCGCTCCTATTGGTCTTAGCGTGATGATATATAGCCTATAGCCTTCCTCGATAAATGGGCTATCTAACACTGAAAGAATTTTTCAAATCGGGCCAGTAGTTCCTGAGATTAGCGCGTTCAAACAAACAAACAAACAGCTTTATAATATTAGTATAGATTTTAATATCATAAATGCGAAAGTAACTCTGTCTGCCTGTCTGAATCCGTAAAAGATTTTGATAAAATTTGATACAAAGATAGACTAGAGCTTTGGGAATGATATATTATTATAGGCTACCTTTTAAGGTAAAAAACAAGCTTAAAGAGGTTAAAATAGGAAATTAAAGTTTGTATGGGGGTTCGTCGCTGTCGAAGATAAAACCACGAAACAACAGTTTGTATGTTTAATATTTGCAAAATAATGTTACGAGAAGGAAAACTTGACACAAACCCTACACCAACCCGTCTGGCCAGTGTGGTATAGTAGGCCAAAACCTCCTTTCTAAAGAGAGGCTTATGTCCAGCAGTGGACTATTAAAGCTATTGATGAATGTTACGAGCGGGGTATATAATAAATAAAAGTTGTCGGTTAATTATTTTATTTCGATGTATTTACAAACACACTACTAGAAATCACTACAATGTTAATTCGCTGTGTCGTAAAACGAAACTGTCTGTCAAAAATTTTTACTAGAAAGATCTCTAGTATTCGATAGTTCGTTCCAAAGTAACAAGAATTATCCAGAATCAGTCACGCGTTACTTGTAGCGCCATCTAGCGCTGTAAGGATCACAACTACTCGTATTAACCCAAATCCTAATAGATATACTTTAGTCGATACTAGATGGCGCTGTCCTCCACATTTCATACAATCGAACCATTTAATCATATGGCGAAACAATAAGTATCCCGAAAAGTTAAAAATGCTGCCCAAAGTTACTATTCTACGCCGATAAATAAATAATTACCCTTTAGCGTTTGAATTACCTCTGTGTCGTGGTGATTGTAGGCGGTCGCCACGTCGGTTTTTGGTCCTGCAAACAGCAAACTATAGGCGTTGGTCCATCAAAACCGCAGCCCTGAAACAAACAGAGACAGCAGGAAAACACCTGGATTAATATGGGAATGTGGGGAAAAATATCTGTCTGTTTGTTCCGGGTAATCTCTGGAACGGCTGGACCTATTTCGACGGGACTTTCACTGGCTGATAGCTGATGACATAAGGAGTAACTTAGGCTACTTTTTTTAGACTAGCTTCGCCCCGCGGCGTTGCCCGCGGTTATAACAACAAACGCGGGTTACACCGCGGGTCTCAGCTAGTACGGAATAAATTGAAGTTTGTGACCGTAGGGGAGTGCCTTCGCCGCATAATATGGGTCAGCTAGACCGGAGTGCTACCACAGCCTCACAAAAAATTGGTGTTAAACAATTCTTTCGTTGTTTCCCTACCAGGCCTGATCCCAAACTAGACAGAGCCTGTACTATGTTAACCAAATTACTGATAAACATACTTATAATAGGTATATTTCTAAATACATGCGCATTACATCCATACTTACATTGTAAATGTGAAAGTGAGTTTGTTTGTTACGCTTTCACGCCTAAACCACTCAACCGATTTAAAAAATTCTTTCACCAATGGAAACCTACATTATCAGCGAGTAACATAGGCTACTTTTTATCTCGATAACTGATATATACGCGGGCGGAGCAGCGGGCAAAAGCTGGGCTCATATGATAATTGACTGTCTCTATCCATGAACTACTACAGCTCAAGAGTCATAAATAAGTTGCAGGCCTTTAAACTCTCCCCTTCCCGAAATTACCCTTTTTTTTTTCCGTGCGGAAATCCCCTCGGATACCACCTGTCGGTGGCATGTCGGACTCGAACCGACTAAAACCGCACGCCGTCGCCGGGTACTAATAGCCGGGGAAGAAAGGAAGTCCCTGGTGCCCCGACTCCCGAAATTACCCTACTGCGCTAAGTGTGTGCGACCCGCACATGGGACAACACTTTGTGTGATCCACTAATTGATGTTCTGAGTTTGGGTGTTCTTTGTGTCCGTTTCATGAATTTTATAAAGTCCCCCGCGACACAAGATATATTTTTAGTGCAGTTGTCTTTTATAAAAAAAAAAAAAAAATTATAGATAAATTTGTGTACAATACAATTACAAAATAAATAAATATATTGTTGACACAAGAAAATAATAGTGCTCATCAAACAACATTTGTCCTGGTTGGGAATCGAACCCACGACCGCTAGCTTCACAGTCGGGGTCACCAACCACTAGACCAGATAGGTCCGTCAATAATAACAAATCATAAAAAATGACCACTGATTTTTTTTATGAATTGCGAAAAAAAACATCTACAATGGCTGGCATTTATAAGAAAAAACCAGTTTTATTGCATTAATTAATGTAAGAAACACGTTTTTTTTTCATTGTTATAACCACGTCCCGATTTACGTAATACTATTTGGTAGATCATAGACAAAAAAAAGTCAGTTAGTATTAAATTATCTTATAGTTATTTAAAATTGTAAGTCGGTTTGTATAGGCTTCAAAAACTCAAAAAGTTCTACACTGTTTGAGCTCAAATTTTGACTCACTCAAATCTTGTTTTTATACATTTTTCGAGTCGGAGAGAGATTTTTCGAGTGTTTATTGTAAGAGAAGGAAAACTTGACACAAACCCTATACCAACCCGTCTGGCCAGCGTGGTATAGTAGGCCAAAACCTCCTTTCTAAGGAGAGGCCTATGTCCAGCAGTGGACTATTAAAGCTGTTGATATGATGTAATGTGATGATTGTTACCCATTTCTCATCAATGCAATCACAATGTGGCACAGCGAAGTGTAGCAGGGTACAGCTAATTTTATATGATTTTTCACACGGTGTAATACAGCATTGCTTCTAACCTAGAGAGTATGGATGGCATAAAATAACAGTCACCTGTTACAAATCATATGATATACTAGCTGAGACCCGCGGTGTTACCCACGTTTGTTGTTATAACCGCGGGCAACGCCGGGGGGCGAAGCTAGTCTAAAAAAGTTGCCTAAGTTACTCCTAATGTCATCAGCTATCTGCCAGTGAAAGTCCCGTCCAAATCGGTAAAGCCGTTCCAGAGATTACCCGGAACAAACAGACAGACAGACAGAGAGACAAAAATTGTAAAAAATGTTATTTTGGCGTATGTACCGTGTAAACATACATATGCATTTATTAAAAAGCGGTTATTTTAATATTACAAACAGACACTCCAATTTTATTTATTTGTATAGATAATCACACCTGTGACGATTTTACAAAACCACTGCGACTTATGATGTCTGAAACAAAGTTCTTTTACAAGAAAGTCTCACGTGGGATTTTCCTTTACCATCTTCTGATGACAATAAACACATTTATACACTATTTTCCTTCCTTGGGTCATTTACACATTTATAACAATTAGTTAGTGCATATTTATCTTGTGAAATTACGTTGGCATTGGTATGTGACACATCGGATAATTTGTCTTGGAGGTAACTGCATCATTTTTAAAGAATTCCGTCAATATTTTCCTTAAGAGTGTGTTTAACTTATATTTTGTTAGCATCACTTGAATTTTTTATTACGAGTAGGTATATTCCGTATGGTGTCAGAATAAGAAGAGTCACCACTCCTGAGCAAACTGCACTGCAAAGGGAAGGAAAACTTGACGCAAACCCTAACAGAACCCGTCTGGCCAGTGTGGTATAGTAGGCCAAAACCTCCTTTCTATAGAGAGGCCTGTGTCCAGCAGTGGACTACTAAAGACTGTTAGATAATAATTGACTGTCTCTATCAGTGTACAAATACAGCTCAAAAGACACAAGTGAGTTACAGGCATTTAAACTCTCCCCTTCCCGAAATTAGAGGATGGCGTAGTGGTTTAAAGGTTGTTATAGGGTTTGTGTCAAGTTTTCCTTCTCTCTGCAGTGCTGTTGTCCTGCGTAGTTTGCTCCCTTAGTCGGCTCTTACGACGGGATGAATAACCCGTCACCAATTCAAAAAATCTAGTGTATTTTATTACCTGGGGGCGTACTCCTTTTCTTCTTGCGTTAAGGGCTGAAGGGCATTTTGGAAGGAGAGTGCAGGTCCCCTTGACTCCAGCGACGTCACATTCATCACCTAGAAAAAAATTACAATAATTTACATTTAATTTTGCGTAGTCAGCCGTCAGTAGAAACATTTAAATAGCAGTCAGCTGTCAGATATCTTACATTCAGACATTTTGAAGTTTTAGCTGTCAGCTCAATCCTTGTATCCTCTCTCCTTTTAATCCTCTCTCTCTTCTATGCTGTGCCCGACAGGGTCCATAATTGATACCTAGCTTAAGTTTTTACCAACTGTAAAATTTACATTATGGTAGCAATAAAGTATTGAGTATTGAATATTGAGTATTGTATCTAATTAATATCTGAGGCTGACAGGAGCTTTTTCGAGTGTATGTACTCCTACGTACTTATGGTTGTTTTTTGGTACGCCCTGTAGCCGCTAAGTCTTGATGGATTATAACATTTGAGATAACATTAGGTTCGTCTTACACACGTCCGTCTGATCCCAAACTATAACCCGGCAATCTCGTGCGCGACCGTCCCGCGGGGTGACAGACAGTGGCGGGGGCGAGGTAGCGCGTCATTCTAGCACACGGCTACACACGAAGAGAAGCGTTTCCCTTCCCCCCTAAACCACCCGCTACCCGCTCACATCTTGAGTACCTCGTCCCCGCCCCGCACGACGTTGATGGACTATAGGCAGAGCCTTTACTTTTGTAACCAGACTGCTGATAGACATACTTATATATTTTTAAATACATACATATTAATTTATTTATTTATACTTCCTGCAAATACATTGCACAAGGCGGACCTAATGCCATAGGCATTTTCTTCAAATCAACCTTGGGGTGTGTGTGATGTGTGTGTGGCAGGTGTATAATGAGATAAATTATTTAAATTGTAGTCAGTTGCAAGATGTTATACTACATAGATATACTGGGCATACATATATAGATGTAAATATAATTTATACGTACTATATAATCTATACTGATATTATAAATCTGAAGAGTTTGTTTGTTTGTTTGAACGCGCTAATCTCAGGAAGTACTGCTCCGATTTGAAAAATTCTTTCAGTGTTAGATAGCCCATTTATCGAGGCAGGCTATAGGCTATCTATCATCACGCTAAGACCAATAGGAGCGGAGCACCAATGAAGAATGATTCAAAAAACTGAGAAAATTTATTACTATTGAGAGACGCAGACGAAGTTGCGCGGGTCAGCTAGTACTATATATATAAAAAACATAAACATACACACATACATCTACACATATATGCCTTCAATGATGAAGACACGAGGGGTTATTCTGATGACTCCGTCAACAAATCACCATAGAACTTGCGTACTCTGATCTTAAAGGGTGTTCGGTAGTGGACGATATGATCTCTAGAGGAAGGTCGTTCCAAATATTAACCGCTTGGACAGTGAAGAAAAAATGTACGAAATGATTATGCATAAATTACACCGAGATACAGAACAAATGATAGTGCTCGTCACACAATTATTTGTCCTGGGTGGGTATCGAAGCTACGCGTTCCGGCTTAGCAGTCAGGGTCACTAACCACTAGACCAAAAAAATTTTAACTACCTATACATTTTCACGAAGTTGGATTTTTATTTTTTTAGTAAATAACTGGTTTTAGGTTCTTTCCGCGGTTTACTCCACGACAAAATACTTATCTCACCACTAGCAATTTTTTTCTGGATGAAAGGTACTCTATCTCTTTCTCTATGGACCTGGTAACGTTTATGCAATATTTTAGGATCATGGGATATATGTATACAATTCATGTAACGCATAAAATACAACAAAACTACACGAATGGCGTAGTGGTTTAAGCCGTCATCTCGCCGCTTCCTACTGCGTTGAGTGTTGTGGGTTCGACCCCCAAATGGGAAACCGCTTTGTGTGATACACAAATTGTTGTTCTGAGTCTGGGTGTTCTTTGTTTCCGTTTCATGTATGTTTGTAAAGTCCCCCGCGACACAAGATATGTTCCTAGTGCGGGAGTTATAATAATAATAATAATAATATTGTACCACATTCACACAACGCCATCTAGTCCCAAACTAAGCAGAGCTTGTACTATGGGTACTAGACAACTGATATAAATACATATATACTTTTTTTTTGTAAATACATACTTATTATACATAGAAACACCCAGACCAAATCAAACATTAAATGTTCATGCACACAAATGTTTGACTTGAGCGGGAATGGAACCCGCGACCTTTGGAATAGCAGTCCGTTACACAAACCACTACGCCATTTGGTCGTCAAAAGTTGTCTTTTACAAAAATATATATAAACTAAATATATAAATATAAACATGTACAAATGTTTGATGTGTAATATTTTTACTCTAGCTTTCGTAAAATGGGACGAAAATGAAACAGAAAGCAGGAGAAGCACATACTTAAAAAAACAAAATCTAAAGAAAAACGCACAGCGCTAGTGTGTTGATTATCATTTACTATAATTTACTGCTTCGGTGGTGCAGTGGTAGCGTATGCGACTGCTGTGCTGAGGTCTCAGGTTCGATTCCCGGGTCGGTCCAAATGTTTGTATGATCTGCAAATATTTGTTTCGGAGCTTGGGTGTTTTCTATGTATAATATGTATGTATATGAATTAAAAGTATTCTATCAATCAATCTAGCTTTCGTAGTACAAGCTTTTCACTCTTACTATACAATTCAATATCAAATAAACAAATTGTACTATAAGAATGAGACTGCTGATAAACACCTAATAATGTATTCATAAATACAAACGTAATATTGTAAACAAATGGCACCCAGACACAATAAAATTAAATGATTGTGCTCATCGTTCAATTACTTGTCATCATGATCAGCAGCCTTTACTAGTCCACTGCTGGACATAGGCTTATCCTTAGAAAGGAGGTTTTGGCCTACTATACCACGCCGGCCAGGGTTGGTATAGGATTTGTCTCAAGTTTTCCTTCTCTTTTCAGTGCTGTTGTCCTGCGTAATTAGTGCCCTTAGTCGGCTGTTACGACACCCACTGGATAAATAGAACCTTAAATTACTTGTCCTGGATGGGAATCGAAACCGTGATGACGACATTCCTGTCTCAGCAGTGAGGAAAAGTAGCCACAAAACCTACACTCGAATATGGGTAGATAGCGCTAAGTAATGTCTCAGAACATATGTGACTAGCCTGTTGGTCCAGTGGTTAGTTACTGCTAACCCAATGATCGTGGGTTTGGTTTCCACACAGGACAAATAATTGTGTAATGAGCATGATCTTTTACCTAAAATACGTATGTGTGTAGGAATATATAAGTATGTTTATCAGCAGCCAGGTTATACGTACATGCTCTGTTTAGTTTGAATCAGAAGGCCAATTCTCGTAATGAAAGTTCGGTCTCATTTCAATTCCGATCAACTTTCGATCTCACAACCGTCAGAAATTATATTATACCTCAGCCTATGCTTGTCCACTGCTGGACATAGGCCTCTCCCAATGATTTCCGGCGGGGACGGTTGATTGCGGCCTGCATCCAACGGTTTCCGGCAACGTTTACCAGGTCGTCCTTCCATCGGGTAAGCGGTCGTCCCACACTGCGCTTTCCAGTACGTGGTCTCCATTGGAGAACCTTGCTGCCCCATCGGCCGTCAGTTCTCTTTGCTATGTGCCCTGCCCATTGCCACTTGAGCGCGCTAATCCGTTGGGCTATGTCGACCACCTTTGTTCTCCTGCGGATCTCCTCGTTGCGGATTGGATCACGCAGGGAAACGCCAAGCATAGCCCTTTCCATAGCACGCTGAGCGACTCTGAGCTTTCTGATTAGGCCCATAGTAAGAGACCACGTCTCAGTTCCGTAGGTCATCACTGGTCACCGTCAGAAATCCTTCCGTCTTACATCACATACTTGCTCTGACTGACGTATTCATCAACGCAAAGCCTAAACCGCTGGGTCTACAAACTTGAAATTTTAACAGCTGATGATTTTTATGTTTTAAGCACACTCTAAAAAAGGATTTTTAGTAATTTTACCCCTCTTAAGGGTAAAATTACTAATACCCTATTTTAATATGGGATGAAACATTGTATGGAAGTTTGTCATTTCAAAATTAGAAAGACGACATAATAATACCAAAGAAATATACTCGTACAGAGGCACATACACTCGAAAAAATATAACCCTCTTTCTGGCGCAGTCGGATAAAAAGGAGGAAAATTATGATGATTCTTTGGTTAAATGATTTTCTGTCAAATTATGCAATTATTGCGATTACATCCAACAATAATAATGGGTTATGCCAACTTAGTTTCAAAACTGTTTATTACTCCTATCTCTATGCCGCATTACTAATTATCCCACAAAAACAACGTCTATTTTATTCATAATTTTACACAACTAACCTTCAAATGCTGCATCACTCAAAACCAAAACACAACACAATATCGCTAACTTAAAAAACATTGTTTTAATATTTAATATTTCATTTAAATGAACTTAACACAGGACCGGCACTAAAGCGAGACGCTTCACAACTGACAACAAAATAAATAAAACATTAAATGTTACAACTTGACCGAGAACTTATTAAAAACGATGAATAATAATTATTAAGGCTTGTTCATATTGACATCTGACTGGATTGGAAGCAACTTCAGTTTCGGACTTTGAAAATGACAAAATTCTTTACAACCAAACATCTCCCACGCATCTCGCATCTCCAACGCCAAGGGATCGAGCCGATCCCTTGGCCTACGATGGATACGACCTTCAAACCTTCAAGAAAAGAGCGTACTCCTTCCTAAACGGCCGGCAACGCGTTTTTGACTCCTGAGTTGCAGACGTTCATGGGCGGCGCTGGTCACTTTCCATCAGGTGACCCGTCTGCCCCCCCCCCCCCCCATAAAATATTAAAAAAAACCGTGCATCCCTTATTTTCCCCTTAAATTTCAAAGATATGTTTATGTGAGTGCTTACAACATACAAAGCATCGTCATCATCATCAACAGCCTTTAATAGTCCACTGCTGGACACGGCCTCTCCTTAGAAAGGATGTTTTGGCCTACTATCAGCGGTCGAAATTTCAAGTTTCTAGCACCAGCGGTTTAGGCTCTCCGTTGATGAATCAATCAGAAGGGCAAGTTATTTTATCTGTATAAATAACAAGATGGCCATAGAAATCGTTCAGTTTGCAGATCGTCAGTGTATGCAAGCTGATTGTGCTTTTAAGTCTTATTAACTGCAGTATATCACCTTCACATCTTGGAGAAAAGGGTGTACTCCATACTTAAAAGTCCGCAGAACCCTGTTCTGACACTTAAATTGCAAAAATCTTTCACTCCATGTCACGTGGAAGTTGCCATGTACCAGGTCGTAGTCGACCTAGAAAGCTAATGGAGAGAGAGCAATTTAAAAAAAAAAATAACCTCAAAAGAAACCAAACTCTATACCAACCCGTCTGGCCAGCGTCAACCACTATTTCTTGCTCAGGGTCACTAACCACTGGACCAACAGGCCCGTCAAACTTCACATCAACTAATTATTTCCTCGTCTGTACGTCATCTGTAACTCACCTTTATAAACAGCAGTATGACCAGTTTTTTTAAAGAATCGCATAGCGTTAGAAGCTTACGTAGACGTAAAACACAGTATATTATTTTATACTTAGAGATCCACACAGAGTAGGTTTGATATCTTTTAAGAAGGGGCTATTTTTGCTATTTTATTGGCCAGACGGGTAGTGAAGGGTTTGTTTCAAGTTTTTCTTCCTGCCTGCGCAGTTCGCTCCCTTAGTCGGCTCTTACGACATCCACTTGATAAATACGGGTGGTGACAATCTGTATTCTTAATCTGTCACCACAATCCGATTTTTTAGGGTTCCGTATTTCAAAAGGAGAAAACGGAACCTTTATAGGATCGCTTTCTTATCTGTCTGTTTATTTTGAGAACCCGTGGAGGTATCTAGTTGAAATTAAAACCATATACTCAAGTCTACAAGCCCTTGAAGCTGTGAAAAAATCAAGCTTCCAAGTTGAGGTGAAAAAAAGATACGGCCGCTTAAGCGACAAAAAACGTATATTTCGACACTTTCAAGGCAATCAAATAGAAAATACTTCTCGTTGACCTAGAACTACGAAATTTGGAAAGTAACTTCGTCTTATACTACAAGTAGAGGGATAAATCTGAAAACTATACATTTCCAATTAAATCGTTCATCACGGAACCCTCGGTGGGCGAGTCTGACTCGCACTTGTCCGGATTTTTTATTATAATATCTCTCAAGCCTACGCTGAAAGGGTAAACAAAGACTTATTAAATACCTGTATATTTGCAACTATAGTTTAGTCCTCACGTAATTTGAAATGAATTAACTTATTGACGTCACCCGGTCTCTTTAGGAATTAAATGGGAAAGTTCGAATTCAATATGAAGAGAAAATTTGAATGAAAAGGGAATGGTGGAAAAGAGATATATACGGATGGATACGGTTGGATACGGATGGATACTAATGGATAGTTATATGGATGGATTCAGGAGTGTTCCTAAACAATTGCTCGAGTAAGTGAGGGTCGCATATATTAAATAGTGGACAAGAAATGCCATTTGATACCACAGCCACACAGAAAACCGGTGTTAAGTAATTCTTTCATTTCGAGTGAGTGAGAGCTCGAACCCCTCCTTCCCTCTTATTGGGGGGGGGGGGGGCGATCGCACTTGTGACTCTTGAGTGGCGGGGTCCAGATGGCTACTTACCATCGAGGTACCGTTAACGTCTCCTAGTTTGCTCTCCTACACAAAAAAAAAGGTTTGTTTAGGTTATTCTTATAATCATTATTAGCAGCCTTTAATAGTCCACTGCTTCACATAGGCCTCTCCTTGGAAACAAGGTTTTGGCCTACTATACCACGCTGGCCAGACGGGTTGGTATAGGGTCTGTGTCAAGTTTGCCTTCTCTTTGCAGTACTGGTGTCCTGCGTAGTTTATTCCCTTAGTCGCCTCTTACGACACTCACGGGATGAATATAGGGATGGTGACACTCCGTATTCTTAATCTGACACTACACGATTCTTAGAATGTAACTTCTTAATTTATATCTAGATTTCAAAGATACGTTTATGAGTTCTCAAACATGTTTTCTTGACTAGTTTAAAGAAAAACATCATTGGCCTTCACATTAACTAGAAGCGCAGAATATATTATTTGTTAGAAGCGAATGCATTTTAGGGGACTCTCGCAGGCGTAGAATTTTGATGCGATACACATTTTGGCACAAACAGTCATTCAAACAAAATTATATACACACATACGCAGTGTGATAGACAACGAGTGCCGAAATCCGTGTTATGTAATAATTAAAGTCTATGTATTGATTTAAAAAGCATGAGTCACAGATGTTACTGAGTGATGTACATTATATTAATACTATGCAAGCTTTTACAGGTCGTATTGTGTTAGAAAAATCATATTAAATAAAAAGCGAAGAATAAAAAACAAGGGCAGACACCATATCATAACAATCCTGTCAAGGAGTACAATGCAAGCTACGTAATACCCAGTATACATACATATGTTTATGTTTTTTACCTATTGACACAGATTTTCAAATAACATTTGCTTAAACTTTTGCAATGACAATTTGTGGATCACATAAAGTGTTGTCAGTGTAAGCAGTGGACTATTAAAGGCTGTTGATGATGATGATGATGATGATAAAGTGTTGTCCCGTGTAAGAATCAAACCCACAACATTCAGTACAGTAAGAAGCGGTGAGGTGACCGTTTAAAGTACTACGCCATCTATGCGGTCAAACTACTTTTTTTTATATTTTTATACATCGCAGCTTCGCTCGGATCGAAATTCCTATGTATTTCACTACAAGAGCGCCTACTATATATGTTAGAGCAAAATGTTGTATAAAGACAAATGTTGCTTTAGTATATTTATAAGGCGAATCAGTCATCAGTTTGGTGAAGTCTTGTTACTAATAAGGATTGTTTTTGTTACATTACATACATATTTGGACTAGTGATGCACCAGTTGTTTAAAAATGACCATCTGCAGATAATAATAATAACTTCACAATAACACACGGCAGTCTAATCCCAAAGTAGGCAGAGTATATGCCATGGCAACCAGACTACTGATGAATTATTAACTTATATATTTCCAAACACATAATATAGACAAATCCCACCCATACAGACACAGAACAAATGATCGTGCTCATAACACAACCATTAACACATACAAACGTATATACACACACGTAAACACACATCACATTACATCAACAGCCTTTAATAGTCCACTGCTGGACATAGGCCTCTCCTTAGAAAGGAGGTTTTGGCCTACTATAGCACGCTGGCCAGACGGGTTGGTATAAGGTTAAGTGTCAAGTTTTCCTTCTCTTTGCAGTGCTGTTATGCTGCAGAGTTTGCTCCCTTAGTCGGCTCTTACGACACCCAGGGGATGAATTGGGGTAGTGACATTCCGTATTCTTAATCCGTCACTACACGGAGGTAAACACATACATATTAAACATAGAAAAATCCGAAACAAATATTTACAGATCATACAAACATTTGGTCAGATCAGGATCGAACCCGAAACCTCAGCACAGCAGTCGCATGCACTGCCACTGCACTACCGAGGCAGTCGAAGAACAAAGGCGTGAGTGTGTATACATATATTGTGTGTCAGTTTTGTAGCCTTGACTGTCTATGTTGGCTTTACTAATAAATAATGAGCAAAAACTTCAAAAGTGATTCATCAGTAATTACATACTAGACGTTCCCACAGTTACCACCACATTTTTACCCGATTGTGCCAAAAGGAGGGTATGTTTTCAAGTATAATAGTATTGGACTAATCCCACCCACACGCCCACCACTGTAACTCCTGTACACCAGGATCCACAGCAGTGACCCACGAACACACCGAGTTATGACACTCGGGAAGTCCCAGGAAGAAATTAAACTGTCTTTGAACCCGCAACGAAATTAATCAGAAGAAAATTGGAGGAGTTGGAAATACAGTAAATCCACTTCCCTCCTTAGCAAAGCGAGAGACAAAATGAAGTAAAATGGGCATACACCCTTTTAAACAGGGAAGCACCACGGCCACAAATATTACGGGTCCTACGTGAGCTATGTTTGATTTCTATAATATGTATGGCAGAATCGCCTAAACGCACGGAAATTCACCCTAGTTGACACAAGATCCCCATAGTATACCGCCCCAGATGTCACCTGCAAGCTATTCAGCATTATATTACGTTCATTATGTATTAAGTATAATAGTATGTCTTTGTTTTGTATTGTAGTGTCTTTGACACGCTCTCTAGTCTGATGGATATTGGCGTCTCATGTGTTGTTGGATTCGTCTTAATTGTGAGACTGCCACTCTATAAAAATATATGAAAATTATAAAATTAAAATCGCCTGTATGTAAATTTTAAGTACCTATATGACCTATAGGCGTAGTGGTTTAAGCAGTCGCCACACGGCTTTGTACTGCGCTGAGTGTTATGGGTTCGGTCCCGGCAACCCGCTTGTGACGCACATGGGGGGGGGCGGTGACTCCTCTACATCTTTGCCAGTATCTTTATCATCAAATAAATAAAATTGAAGTGTCTGTTTGTAATGTCGATATCACAGGTTTTTTTCATGCTCACACGGTTATTTGCATTATAGCTCTGCCTAAAAGCCAGTTTTGTCTGTCTGTCGGTCTGTCTGTTTGTTCCGGGTAATCTTCAAAACGGCTTAAACGATTTTGGTAATATTTTACTACCAGGTAGCTGGCTATATAAGGAGTAGCTTAGACTATTTTTCCTCTCAGAAAATCCTATAAAATTTTGCTCTGTCCGAGAATCGAACCCGAGTCCTCATGTACTGCAGTCGCGTACCGTACCACAACACTAAGGCTACGCTAACAAAGTTGCGTAGAATTTGAAAAGTGCTGCCTACCATAGTACACCATAAAAATTGTTAAAATGTTGGTGTTCAATATTCCTCTGCTCCCCCCTCAGTGACAAAGCGTGAATATATGTATGTATTACAAATTTCACATTCCTGCCTGTACGCATTTCTTTCAAAAATGCATACAAAGTCATCTCCTAAAGTATAATACATATATACTTATGTATACAGAATAACAGTATATGATTATTAAATAGACTGCCTTTTTAAATCAGTTAAGACCCATCCGCGGTCAGACACGGTCGACTGTTAATATAATTTGTGTTATGTTGTGTTAAATTTTAAGAACAATGATTTTAAAAAACATTTTGTTGTGTTGTGTTTTAGTTTTAAAAGGTGTGACAGGGTTAGATGAAGGTACGTAATAAAGTAATTTTATGATTAAGTCATTTTTTTAAATGTCTTTTGCTTTTTCGTCCGTCAATATGTTTTAAATATCTATGTTATTGTTCTTTGTGTTTATTTCTGAAGGTAAAAAATGTTATTTTTAATGTTAATTGTATTCTAATTGAATTAAATGTTGTGGTAATTCAATTTAAGCCTAATTAATCTTGAATTAGTTTATTTAATTTACTGTTTCAACACTTTACCGTTATCAGGCTTTATTAACTTTCTTTATAAGAAAGTTTTATATTTTAAAACTTACATCGAAGATTAGTAGGGATATTAACATATTTATAATTAGCTTTAGAAGGACTTATTACAATACAAAGCTGTGACATATTTTTCATTACTTGAATTCATTGTCACACTTTCAGAAAGCATTAAGAAAGTTGAATTTTGTGATGTATTTTATGAATGTTAATTAAATTTAGTACTCATAAATAACTAAATTCTATTAACGAACTTCTAATTTTATATGACTACCCCCGTTTTAACATGACTGTCAGGATTCTCTGTCCCTACAATAATTAGACTCTTAGGATTTCAAATACGTATATAACAAACTAGCTGACCCGCGCAACTTCGTCTGCGTCTCTCAATAGTAATAAATTTTCCCCGTTTTTGAAACATTCTTCATTGGTACTTCGCTCCTATTGGCCTTAGCGTGATGATATATAGCCTATAGCCTTCCTCGATAAATAGGCTATCTAACACTGAAAGAATTTTTCAAATCGGACCAGTAGTTCCTAAGATTAGCGCGCTCAAACAAACAAACAAACAAACTCTTCAGCTTTATAATATTAGTATACTCGTAGATAATAATAAATTAATTCCAGTCCAGATTTACATAATTTGTTTATCTATCGATTCTATCTATACAAAAAAGATTATACATTTGGACAGTAGTAATAATTAGAAATTTTGTATAAATCTCACATAAAATACTAGAAATATATCACAGTTTACTAAAATCAATATTTATTTAATTGACTAAGTTGGAGCTATGTGTGTGTGTGTGTGTGTGCGAGTTTGTGTGTGTGAGTGTGTTTGTGTGTACATGCCTGAGTATGTGTATTCGTCTATCTGTCAGTATTCATTCTTATATTAATTTTTTTAGCAATTGTTGTTTATGGTTAAGACAGCTCATGATATTACCGATTTTGAGTTTAGCGTCCCGTATGTATGTATGTATGTACTTATGTATAAATGTTACATGTATGTATTTATATCTAAAATTTATTTTACTGTACAAATATATGTCGGTATTTGATTAATTTACATACTTTTCTCTACTGATTTCCAAGTACGCATGACTGTGCCCTCACGTTTCTCTGCTATACTCTGTTCACGTAAGGTTTACTCTAAGAAAACTTAGTTTTGGGTTAAGCTCGCCTTTGTACATGACATTTCCTTTATATTAATACACAATAATGTAATAATAATCACCTCACACATCTCACACACGGCCATCTGATCCCAAACTACCTAACTAGTTGAAACCAATCTCAAGCACTGATTTAAACTTTACAAAGTTACATTTCAATACGACTGTTATAAGATACTAGCTGACCCGCGCAACTTCGTCTGCGTCTCTCAATAGTAATAAATTTTCTCCGTTTTTGAAACATTCTTCATTCGTGCTCCGCTCCTTTTGGTCTTAGCGTGATGATATATAGCCTATAGCCTTCCTCGATAAATGGGCTATCTAACACTGAAAGAATTTTTCAAATCGGACCAGTAGTTCCAGAGATTAGCGCGTTCAAACAAACAAACAAACAAACTCTTCAGCTTTAAAATATTAGTATAGATTACAAGTAGGTTAAAATTGACTTCTAACATTGTTTACACACTTAGTTTAATCTAAAACTAATAAAATAGTCGGTTAAAATAGACTAATAACCTACTTGAAATTATAAATAGTAATTTCATTTACGAGTATTCTTTCACATCATCACATCAACAGCCTTTAATAGTCCACTGCTGGACATAGGCCTCTCCTTAGAAAGAAGGTTTTGGCCTACTATACCACGCTGGCCAGACGGGTTGGTATAGGGTTTGTGTCAAGTTTTCCGTCTTTTTGCAGTGCTGGTGTCCTGCGTTGTTTTGCTCCCTTAGTCGGCTCTTACGACACCCACGGGATGAATTGGGGTAGTGACATTCCGTATTCTTAATCCGTCAGTATTCTTTACGGATACTTTATTCTTTACTAGACACATATTTGCGAACGTATTTACGGACTAGATATTTGCCGGCCCTGTTGGTCTAGTGGTTAGTGACCCTGACTGCTAAGCCGGAGGTTCGGGTTCGATTCCCACCCAGGATAAATATTTGTGTGATGAGCACGCTCATTTGTTCTGTGTCTGGGTGTAATTTATCTATAATATGTATGTATTTAGAAATATATAAGTATGTTTATCAGTAGTCTGGTTATCATAGTACAGGCTCTGCTTAGTTTGGGATCAGACTGCCGTGTGTGAGATGTGTCAAATTATTATTTATTTACACAAATATACTAGAAGAAACCATTAAACTCTTGACACTGTTACCGTTACCGACACCTCTGCATATAAGTTTTCATTTTTGTCGGCACTCCCGGAGTGACACTGTTTTTTTTATCATTTATTACTTGGCATCAGTCATTTTTTTGGTTAAAAGCTATCTTATGTAATTTTCATTATCCACGGATATGCAAAATATTATGATATATAATACCTCCACAACTTTTTTTTTTTTCCGTGCGGAAATCCCATCGGATACCACCGGTGGCATGTCGGACTCGAACCGACTAAAACCGCACGCCGTCTCGGGTACTTATAGCCGGGGAAAAGGGTATACACTAGAAAGGAAGTCCCTATTGCACCTCCACAACCCTAGGCGATATGGAAGTTCACTAGAAAGACTGTTTTCGGACTCTATAGGACTGCAACTACCCGTAACGCTAACCAAAGATGTTTGTATGGCAACCAGGACTCAACGTGCTCTCCGAGGCACGGAGGGGTTCCAATATGCTAATAATGGTCATCCATCCATAGACTGACATGGCTAGGGTTGCTTGACTTTGCATTGTGTTAACCTACACGGTCACTACTTAGCCCTCGTACGTTCATTCAAGGGCGAAACATTTTTTTTTTTCCTCTCTTTAGGTTTTTCCTTTCGAAAAAAAAAAAAAAAATTTTTTTGAGACGGAGCCCGCAACAGGAGCGGGACGGCACTGGGAGGGGTCTAGAAGGCGATAACTACCTGGACCCCTCCTAAACTGGAAGCGCAAAGAGGGCACACCGTGTGGTTTTAGTCGGTTCGAGTCCGACACACCGCCCCGCCGAACGAGAGCCCCGGCGGGGTGACGGTCCGAGGGGATTTCCACACGTTCAAAAAAAAAAAGGTGAAACATTTTAATGTAACCGTACACAAGTCATAACAAAACGATTTATAAAAAAAAATCGTGACTCATTTGTTATTCAAGAATTATCTTAATTTATAGGGGAAGCCCCTCGCGATCTTTCCAATCGTATAACATATCGGATACGACGACATGATGATGTGTGTACCGTATGTGTACCGGCAAACGTTTATACATGACTAACAAACCAAATATCATAACCAAAACGACTGCATGGATGGACGCAGTGGTTTAAGCGGTCGCCACGCCGCTCCCTACTACGCCGAGGGTTGTGGGTTCAAATCCCACATGGGACGACACTTTGTGTGATCCACAAGTTGTTGTTCTGAGTCTGGGTGTTCTTTGTGTCCGTTTCATGTATTTTTGTAAATTTCCCCGCGACACAGGATATTTTGCTAATGCGGGAGTTGTCTTTTAAAGAAAAAAAAATACTTTTTCTGGTAAAGTAGGCAAGTGAGCAAATAATAATAATAATAAGCATATATTTTCATTAAACGTTACACAATTGTTACATTGACTATGGTAGCCACACTAGGCGAAGCCTGTATCGTGGCTATCAGTGAATACGATTAACTCACTTAAACTATCACAAAAAAAATCAAAATTTAAGTAACATAATAATAGATAGCTGCATATGAGTGTGTGTGTGTCAGAGTGTGAGTGAGTGTGTGCGTGAGTGTGTGGGTATATTTGTGTGTGTGCGTGTGTTTTTTTTTTAAACAACTCCCGCATTAGGAATATATCCTGTGTCGCGGGGGACTTTACAAACATACATGAAACGGACACAAAGAACACCCAGACTCAGAACAACAATTTGTGGATCACACAAAGTGTCGTCCCATGTGGGGTTTGAACCCACAGCACTCGGAGTATCCACATCCACACTACACCATCCGTGCAGTCCGTGCTTTTATTTGTATGGATGGATTGGATGGATAGGAAATGGTCTACCTGATGGTGACTATTGCAGCCGAAGGACACCAATTTAAGAGTCACAAGAGCGTTTCCACCTTTTGAGCTTCCCTCACCAAGAGAGAAGAAGGAGAGTTTGTACTCCGATGACGTCTCTCACCCACACGTTGAAAATCAAACGGAAGATTTTCTTAACACCGGTTTTCTATGACGCCGTGGTATCACTCCGGTCAAGCTGACAAAATTGAGCGTTTAGTGCGTCTAATAAAAAAAAAAACAGTGGCACACCGGGAGTGCCGACAGTAGTGAAAACTTGAAAATTAAAATTTTTTGATTACAACAGGATGTCTTTTCAGTTGTTTCGATTCGAAAAGTTCCGACATGAATATATAGCTATGTTATACACAATATATCATCATCATCATCATCAGCCTATCGCAGTCCACTGCTGGACATAGGCCTCTCCCATTGCACGCCACTTAGATCGATTTTGGGCTTCTCGCATCCATATGTTTATATTATATTTAGTTATATTATCAACTAGCTGACCCTGCAAACGTTGTTTTGCTATTTACATTATTAAAAAAAAAAAAAATTTTTGAACTTCTTAAAATCCGTTCTTAGCTGACCTCTACTCGGTGAAAAGAATATTCCTACCAAA